TCGAAGAAAACAAAGAATATTGTATACAGAGTATTATTGCATGTTTTATTGAAATTTTCGCAATGTCCCTTGGAAGGGACATTCGGCTTTTAAGGGTTAAAGTATTTATTACAAAACGAAAGCTTGTTTGTCTTATGATGCAACTCTTTCTATTCCATCGTCATTTGCTTCAACTTTTACCCTTTATATAATAAAAACTCATGTCTATTATGCTCCTTTTATCGAACAAAAGAAATAATATGATATGATATAATTATAGATAATATCATCATGACTCATGACTGTCTCTGCTTTAAAGGATGTCATAATCTTCATAATTATGGTGTCAAGATTCTAAACATGCCTATTAAGATACGCAATCAATGCATTTCTTTTTGTCATAGGTTTTCAGCGAATTCGGTATAAGAATATGAATTATGATTGTTCAGCTGCTGTCTATCAAGTTGGATATTATCATTTGTAGCTTGTCACTGTCAAACGCATGGATATTATAAATTCTCTGTTCTTTGTTGCCGTCGTCATTGTTTACTTTTGAAAAATTCCTCTTCTCCTTATAATGGATGACGTCATATATGAAAAGTTCGTAATTGAGATCGTATTTCAATGAATTTCAGACATAATGGAACATAATTTTCACACTTTATTGCTTTAGGTATTAATGCTACAATTTCATAGTTAATCTCTAAAGCTTTACATGTATCGACAAATGATTGAGCCCATTGCATATCAAAAAACTTTTCTTGAACTTTTAGATCATTTAAAAATTCTGCTATTATATGTACCTTATCTTGAAATTTATCTTTTTGAATTTGTTCGTTCGAAGGAATAAATGAAGTTTTTAATGAATCATCGAGTTCATCATTAAGGTTTTTATCTAGAGGAACACGAAGTAAATGAGATACATTGATAAATGCATGTTGAAACTGATTAATTGATTGCTCGTACAATTGACAAATTTGTTTAATTTGTGATAAAAGAAAATCTTTCATTCGATATTTTTCAAATTTTTGAGCAAATCGATGATCATAATTAGTATTTTGAACAAATTCTGACAATTGCATTGATGAATAATCTTCAGTAGAATTTTCTAAAATGTCCATAATGCGTTGAAGAAAATTATATTCATTTTGAAGTTGATCGATATTCTTTTGTTCTAAATGATTCCATTCTTCGATCAATAGAATACTAGATTGTCTATCAGTATTATTATCGTCACCGTCATTCGTAAGATGATTTGTAGTAATCGGAACTTTTCGTTGAATGTAACATTGATATGTGCCTTTAATATGTTGATAATTAATACGACAATAGAGAAGATATATTCGAATAAGATAAGATTGAACATAAAGAAAATTAAATTTTAATGGAGTATTCAATTTTAGAAAATAATCTTTTTCATTTTCGAGACTAGCTCGAGACAATTGTTCAATCCATTGATAATCCATTTTATTCAATGTAATAATACCCATATTTTCTTGAACTATTTGTAGAACAGATATTTCTCTTTCTGATAATTCATTAATAATATCATTCAATGGACCTAAACCAAGACTATCAATATATTCGTTTATTTCTGATGCCAATAATTCGAGAAGATTATTATGATAATTGACAAGAACACTAAATGGAAAAAAATACTCATTAGACATTGTGTTATTGACATTTACTCTCGAATATATAATTATCAATTTCAATAAGAAAGAATCTTATAAAGGAATCTATTCAACTGATTTTATCTGTTTGAGTTTATATAATTATCTCATAGATGAGATTCATAGTATAGGCATAATATCCAAAACGGTTCACGTTGATATTAGCTGAGAACAAACTAAAATGAAGGATAATTAATTATTTAATCTATCTTTACATAATAGGGGTAGGTGTCGATAAACAACAGTCTAAGAGGCCCACACCCTCAAGTAAATACCGATTTTCGCACAACCAGTGCATCTGTTATCTATGATTCACTGTCAGTATTTCGATCAATATTACAAATATTTCTCTTAGCATAATAAATTGATTCGTTGAGTTAGAAAATTTTTTTTGAGACTTACCCTAATATACGCATAACGATATCTCCTTCATCATAATTATCTGTTTCAACGAGATAGCTTACTGGTGTTTCCATAGAAATCGTTTCAAAACGTTGAGTAATATCACATGCACCTGGTCGAATTTGTCCATCAGCAAATGCATGATAAGCATTAACAGCTTCAATACCATTTTTAATTATTGTATCATATTTATTTTCTTGATTCAGTTGACGTAAACGATTTGAAGATTGAGAAGCTCGTTCATATAATTGTTTTAATGTAACTATATGAAATTCATCTCGTTCAATTAATTGAGTAAAAGTTCGATGTAAAAGAACATGAAATTGACTTAATGCGTAAATATATCGAGTCATTTTTAGGAATTCAAATGAGTCCAATAACCGTCGTAGAATTCTTAGAGGTAATAGAGTCGATTCTGGACTACATAATTCAGTTTTAAAATGAATCATTTCAATTATAATAGGCATTTGAGATATGTAATTTTGTAATTGACTCTGTGGTTGAGATTGCGATTGTACAGTATCGATTATTTTTTTATATTCGGCTAATTTTTGATTCGTTGTATAAAAAATTTTATTTTGAAATTCTTTCTCAGCTTCACGTTTTTCATTATTTGTCTTATAAAGTGGTTTAATCCATGGATTTTGATTTTGTTGACGACTACATTGAGCAAATAATTCAAAACAACGATTAAATAAAAGACAGGCATCATCTAGGTTGGATAGAGATGAGAGAAAAATCTTCGTCGATAACAATCGAGTACAAACAAAAGCACATGTCTTGGCTCGAATACTTTTATTAGCCATACCTTCTAATGGATCTACTGCATGTTTAGCAAGAATAGGATGATAGAGATTGTCTACCGATGATTCATACAATAATAAATGCCAAGCCTAGATGATCAAAAGATAATTAGTTCCATACTGAAAACGGATTTTATCATGCAATAGACTTACCATAGCACCGAAAGTAGCAAAATAAGCAATATAAATTGCTGGAACACTGAACTCATTTCCTCCATGAAGCTGCTCTAATTCTCCGTTGGCATTTAACACACATCCACAATCATAATGAACACCATTACGCATAATAGGACTAGTAGCAGTTGATCCGAAACCTATCATGGAATACCAAGTATATATGTTTTATGAAATGTGGACAACATTCTATTCATCGAAACTTACCATATGTTGTTTCAAGTTTTAATGGTTCAAATGCAAATGTCCAGAGAGGACTTTCTTTTCCACTGAGTAAAATCATTGCCAATAGATTAACAAGTGTATGACGAACAGCTAATTCTTGTACATCTTGATAATCAATTTGAAATATATCATGAAGATAATTTTTATCTGTAGGATTATTATCTGTTAGATATCCAATCATATGTTGTTCAGGTTGTAAAATAGCACGAAATACTAGTTGTTCTTCATCACATGGTTGAAGTGTATTTTTAATAATGGTTTGTAAATTATCCAGAGAATTTAATCTAGCATTACAATAATAATTATAATAAATATTTAATAATAACATAACTTTTATTTCAATAGTATTAACAATAGGTGGATTAGAATTTAATTTCGATTGTATCCAATTTGTTAAAGGTATCCAACGTTGTTCAATATTATTATTTTTGACACATTGATCAATCAATTGAGTTAATTCATGATATGGTTGATGTAATGTAGGAAAAATAGATGAAGTGATATCAGTGGTTAATGTAAATTGTAATTGATGACTATGATGTAAATATTTATTATGTTGAGTGTTGTGTCTCGTTACGAATAGATCATGTAATGTATCAGCCCATTGAGAATTTAAACGTTGAATACGTTCCGATTTAAGTAGATCAAGAAGATAATTCCATGATTGTTTAGTAATTATAATTGATAAGAAAAGTTGAACATAATTATTTAGTTCAATAACAGGTATTGAAATTATTAAATATTGATTGATAACAGTCATAATAATATTATTAAGTCTTTGTTGATTTTCATTATTTAAATTTGATTGACATAATAATAAAGCTGTTGTATGTAATAGAAAATATTCTTTTAATTGTTTGAATATTTTTTCTGCAATTTCATGTGCATTATTAATCCTTGGTGGCATTGTAAGAAGAATTTTATTGATTAAATCAACTCGAATTTTTTCATAGCTTATTAATCGTCGAAGATGAAAAAAGAATAGATCAATTAAAATATAATTTTGCTTTATATCAGTGATAACAGATGGATGATAAGGTATTTGATAATTTTCTAGATTTTCATTAGTTATACAATCCATTATTATTGATAAAAGAGAAATACGATCCCAGAAATCAGTAAATTGTCTATGAGCATTTATACGATTTTGTCGACTATTTTCAATTAAAATTTCAATTAATTCATCAAAAAGAAATTGTTTCATTGGTAATGATAAATGACATGTTGGTTGATTTAAAAATTTTAGTAGAGATATAATTTGGGGTTGTGATGTTCCTTTTGATCCTTTTAATGTTGCAATAATCCATTGTTGAATATCCATCATTAATGTACCACTATTACTATTATTTTCTTCAAAATATTTTTCAATTGTTTGAATAATACGAGATAATAATTGTAGACAACTTGATCCTTCAAAATTCATATGACGACCATCAATATCATCTTGCATAAGTGATGTATCATTTAATAATTGTTGAATAAGTTTAATTGGTTGTGGTGTTTTTTCATTGAGTAAAATTAAATAAACTAAATTCATAAATTCAATTTTAATTTTCGTTTGAACAAAATCTAATCGTTGTAAAACTTTTTCAGATGGATAATATTTTGATATCAATGTATAACTATGAATCCATTGTTTAGGATCATTATTATTTAGACATATATGACAAAGATTAGTCCATAAATGACGAAACATTAATTGAAATAAATTTTCTCGAACTTTTGAACGTGATATTTGATCACCCTTTAAAAGTTCATTGTAAAACGATTGATTTGAATCAATATTTTCTGTGATTCGACATGCTGAATAAAATGAAAAAAGATCATCTTGATCGTATTCAAGTAATTGATAAACATGAGCTAATCGCCAAATATCTCGATTATATGCGGAATCAAATGAAACTTTTTCATCATCATCAATTAATATTAACCAATGAGAAACAAAATTAATTGCTTTTTCACATTGTATTTGATTATCATAGAAATTTTTTTCAATAATTGTACAACTAACTCGAACTGAATCATTCGTATAAGATTGAACAATCGATGATGAAATAATTTTTATTAAAACTTTATCGTTCATAATTGATCGAATGAATTGATTACGAAATTGTTCTCGTGTAGTATCTGTTTTATTTTCATCATCATGGAAATTATCAAATGTTGTTGGTGGTGCAGCTGCCGGTACATCATAATAATCGAAACGAAGATCATCTTGTTTTTCTAAATATTTACCAAAAAAAAAAAAAGAAAAGAATTCAATCAATGAAGAAATATCTTTATAAGTACTTCTATACAAGTAATCTATGATATTGGTAAACATCATATGAGAGGATGGAGTTTATGATAGAAGTTTGACATTCTTTTTTTTGTCTTGTATATTAAGTATTTTAGACATGTTCATATAGTTTCTTTTATACTTTTTAAGGAAAAAGTCATAGGAAATCCAGCAGTGACGCAGCCAGGGGGGGGGGGGGGGATTATGGGGATCGCCCCCCCCCCCCCCCCCCCCCCAAGACAGGGATCCCCGGCGGGGGGGGGGAGGCTCCGTCTTTTTTGCGCCTATAAAAATCCTCTTTNATCAGTAAGACTGGTACTGTTACATCCTTAATTTTATATAACATAATCAAAACGGAATGTTGAAGTATATAGGGGTAGAAATTTGGACTCATCACCTCCTGTACATAGATCGTACATCACTTAGAAATATCTGTCAAAAGAAGAATTAAAATCGTTAAATTCATATTTTATTAGGATTTCCTTACGAATTTAATAATTACAGTAGTGGACAAAAATATGAGAAGAGACAATTTTTTTTAGCGCTTTCATTTGTATATCTTCTCTTTTTTCTTATTGATAAGAGTTTATAGGTATACACACATATGCATTCAGTGGCGCTCTATTCAAAACTAAGGGAAGATTTCCTCGTTTCGTATGCAGATCCGAGAAATGGTATTTTTATTAAAAAGACTAAAATTTTTTCAATATGACTGGAAAACGCTTGTTATTTACAGTTTTAAACGATAGAAGATATTTTTTTTCTTCAAAATGAAAGATTTTTCAAAGTCTGAGAAGTATTCTGTTAAAAAGAAAAAAACAATTTTTTTTTATTTAAAATCCTAGACATTGGCAATTCTAAGCCGAATTGATACAAAAATTGTTGTTTCCTATTAAAATGATGTTTCTTAGACTTCAAAAAATCTTTCATTTTATAGCAAAACATGTCTTCTATCCGTTTAAAACTGTGGAAAAAACAATTCTATCTTCATTTTAGTTTTCATAGCCAAAAATTTTAGCTAGACTAACGTTTTTTTATTCATACACCGAAAATACGAATTTGTTTAATGAAAATGTCCTTTCGGGTGACCACACACGAAATGAAGAAGTCTGAGTTTAGTTTCGAATAGACTGTAAGCGAATGCATATGTGCATACATATAAACTTTTATGAATAAGGAAAAAGTAACGATATAAAAATAAAACCGCTAAAAAATTGTGTGTGCTCATAGTTTTGACCAATACTGTATATAATAAAATTCGAAATTTTCAAGAGAAGGAAAACCTTCGCCATCCGCTTCCTAATCGAAAACGCTATCCACAACCTTACCTAAGTGTTCTTCGCAAAATTCCTGTGCTCTTAGTATTGATTGAGTAAGTATTCCTTGTGCATAGAGTTCTAATGGCATTTGTCTGTCATCATTTTGAGTTGAGTTCACAGTAAACATTTCAATTTTTTTTCTAATATAATCAGACAATGTATTTGATCCTAATATACCATAAACAACTTTCAAATTTTCTAATGCATGTGGTAATTGATGTACGACATAGTCACGACGATGAACTGAAATATCATCATGATTTATTTTAATCGATGGATTAATTGCAGCTGTAAAAAATATGTTTGTAGGTAGATTAGATCCATGTAATGTTCGATCCATGAACATTTCTTTGAATAATCCAAGGCATGATGATGTATTAACTTCGTCAAAAAAGACGACAAGTTCTATATTTGATAATTCTCTAGCTAATTGACAAATAGGCAACATAAATTCATCGATTTGTTCTTCAGTAACACCTGGATGTAATAGAAGACGATAGAATAATGGTTTTATTCGAGTATGAGCAACAAATTCTTCAAACATTTGTATAGATGTTAAAATACTTGGTGTTGATGAATCTCTAAGAAAATTTTTCAATTGAAAACTAGCATCATTCAATGGTAAATTGATCAATTGCGATGTTATATATTTGTTTAATGCAACAATAAGTTTATCAGCAATGTTCATTGCATCTTCACTCGATATTTGCATGATTATTTTCCAAATATATTGTAGCATATCACATTGATATTCGTAGTTTTGTAATGAATGTTTGATTTCCTTTAATAAGTCATGATCGATTTGTTCTGGATCATCCAGGTGTTGTTCAATATTTTCTACGATAGGATTTGGAACTGGTATTTGATCTTGTATTCGACTTATGAGCATTGGATCATCATCATCATTATCAATCTGTTGATCTTTATTGAGAACAATATGTGGATTTTTTTGTTCAACTTCTTCATTATTATCAAAATCCCATAGTTTCTGTATAACTCGATGAAGAATTTTATTTAACAATGTGGGTTCTTTTTCTAGAATATCGACAATAACATTTTCGATCAACCATAAACTTGTTCGTTCACGAATTCGAGGAGCAATATTTTCATTAAGTGGACCATTTATTAGTTTTGCATTTAATAATAATGAATAGAATTTAAGAAGAAATGTTTTACCAACACCCGTTTCACCTTCAATTATCATAGGTAATCTAGTTAATTTTCTTTCATGAACATGAAAAATTTTGTAAGCAAAATTTTCCGTCAAAATAAATTTTGTTTCATTCATAATTTTTTCAAAAACATGATATTGAATATCGATTAACCATGCTAAACATTCTCCATAGTAACTTTGATTTTCATGTTCATCTCTAATCGATGGATCTTTATTATTAACAAGATGTTTTAATGACTTAGGAACTTGATTCCAATCATTATGTAATAAATGTAATGAAAAATTCGGATCATACACAAGATAAACGCGAGAATATGCATTTGAACCGAAATTAATTTGAGTAAGAGATTTAGCTTCATCAATCATTTGTTTCATAACTATTGAACCAAGCTTTGGCCAAATTTCGTTATAACAATAATAATGACCTGTAAAAAATTGAACACGACGAAATAAAAATTTTGTAAATGAAAGTTCATAAATTTTATTTCTTGGCAATTCAGGTGCATATTTTTCTATGCAAGTATATATATGTTGACGACAATCATTTTGATCTGTCAATTTCTCGAAAGATACCGGTATTTCAATATTAAGATTATCCCTGGTTAAACATTGATCAATTGTTTTATTTTCATATGCTTTGAGAAATCGAGCAACAAATTCTTCTTCATCACCAATAGACAATTGATAATTATCATCAGTTACTTCATCAAGAATTGAAGATGATAAAATTGAAAGTATTGGTAATATTCGATCGAAATTCTCTTGAGTTGTTACTTCACATTGTTCTGTATAAGGAATTTCAATAAAAAATTTCCATGATTTCAATATTGGTAATGAAAATGTAAGGCCACTACTAACATCAGTGAGTGAATTACAAATGAACAAGGAAAATAGAACACGATTTAGTTCATTGAATGGTGCATGAAGTGAAATATTGAAATAGACTGATGGACGATCATTTGAAACAATAGATTCATATGATAGAAATGATCTGATCAAAAGTGACAAATTTAATGTATCATTTATGCTAAAACATTTTGTGTCATTATCTTTATATTTCGTATTGATTCGATGAGTTTTTCCTAAAAAAACAATGAAAAATAAACTAAAACGAAAGATTATTTAAAGTAACATACCAATCCCTGATGTACCATAGACGATTTGAATATCTGGTTTTGGATAATTTTTTTGTTGAAAATTAGGTGGTTTTATTTTAGATGTTGCATAAAATGGACGTAGACCTTTTCTGCATGATGTTAATTCTCTTGAGAAATAATAGATATGTGCATGAGGCTCTTGTGCCAATATATCTTGTTCTTGTAATAGAAATTCTCGAAGTCGATGATTTAAATTATCAATATCCATAGCAACAAATATTAAATGACGAAATGTTCTAACACGTGAAAAAAATAATCGTATATCATCTTCAGTTGACATTGAACACCATAAAATTTGATATGATGCTGGTAATTGATTATTAAAAATATTTATTAAAATATAATATGTTTCCATGTCGAGATAATCTTTGAATATTGTTTGTTCTGTGGAATTTAATGTCACAAGAAACTGTTGACCTTCATTGACTATTTCATGTTTTGTTAATAAATTTTCCCAATTTTGAAATAATTCACGAAGAAATTCAGATACTTGTTTCAAACATCTATCAGATGAAGTACCATAGTCAATTTTGTGTTTATTATAAATATGTAATACATTGTCCTCAGACAGATTGCAATTATTAATTCTCAATGAACGTAAATAATGAATCATATATTGAATAGTCAATTTGAGCTCGGTTTCATTTTTATTGATCATACTTTCTGATAAAACGATTTTTTCAAGAAAATAATATTTAATTCGATTTTGTTCTGTTGTTGTTGTGAGTAAAACAATGAGAATTAAGACTTGAGGATTTGAAAATAATTTTAATAATGAATTTTCTTGTCGATATCGGTCTAAATCTTCTATCCATCTGTTATATTCGACTTCTAAATTACTATAAATTGATTGTAACTCATCGGTTCGGACCTTAACAGCTTGTTCAAGTCGTTGTTCATCTGTATGTGGATTTTTCTTTAAGTCAATTAATATTTGACTAATTGTGTCTAAAAGTAGAGAATGAGTGAGAAAAACAAAACAACAATAAACAATATTTTACCTTTTTGATCATGAATCGAATAGATCTCATTTCGAAGTTGATAATCTGGATGACCAGCCATTTCAAATTTGATAAAAATCGAATAGATTTTATCGATAACATGTAATAATTTAAGTTGTTCATTTAATAAAATTTTTTTGGCAAACATATCTTGTTGTAAATCAACATTACAAAATGTTAATTGCCGTTTATGGTCATCAATATCGGTCTTCGATAATGTAAATTGAATTTTTCCAGATTCTTCATTTTGTGTTTGAATTTTATCGATCGAATATTCAATTTCAAAATACGATTGTTCATTCGTCAATCGTCTCAAATGAATTTTGACTAAACCAGTTTTGTACAAATGTTCCATTGTGATAAGAGCATTATCCAATGATGTTGTCTCTTCTGTTGATAACCAAATACTCACTAGTTGTAGATTATCATTCACAACTATGAGAAAAAAAAATTCAATCAATATTTTCTCAATCACAAGAACATATTGGGCAGTCCGATGGACATGATTTCAGGTTCTATTTTCCATAGTTTAAATATCGAAATGAATACTCTTACGATCAGTTTATCTCAATTAAAACTAGATTTCCAGAAATCAAGTCTAACCTTTGGAAAATCTATCATCAAAAACTTGCTCATAAATCAGTAAGGGTATAGGTGTGGATCTTCTCTTTATTTTTACCAACACTTCATTCTAAAAGAATAGTTATGTGGACTTTCTGTTTTTATTGTAAATGAAAAATAAAATAGACTACATGATTAATATCATCATTGAACGTTGTGCATATTTTACTGAAAGAATATTTTGATTATGAAGGATATTGTTTCGGAGGACCAGAACAGTAAGGACCATTTCTCAGGAATATTTACTCTCAAGGACATTTTTTCAAGGACGAAAAGTCAGGAATATTTCGTAAAGGGTATTTTTGGCATAGACATTCTAGCATACATTCACCTAAACTGCATTAGTTCACATGAGTTAAGTTACGAATTTCTGAAACATATCTTAGTTCTTTTTACTTTGCACATCTATCTTTTGTCCTTAAAATAACATCGCAGTCGAAAATCAAGGCGATATTCACAATCAGTGCGTGAAACTGCATTGAATTATGTGCAACACAATATTTTTTTGCTACCAAACATTTTTCTCGGAGAACATGGCAAGGATCTCCTACATACAGGCAAATTTCGCAAGAAATTTCTTTTTTTCAAAATATGATTTATATTCTTAAAGATGATTTTCTAAATGATATGCAGCCACTTCTGAACAATAAAAACTCATATCTCACTACGAAAACTACATGTCCACCTGGTATATATAAAGTTAGATCTCATATTCTTTTCATTTTTTTTATATGATCTTTCTTATGAATTTCTAATGATTTTCTTTGATTAGATAATTATTATGTTTTTACAATTAATTTTGTTGAAATGAATATAATCATTTACTATACCTTTCATATGTTTCGATGAACTTTCTTCAACATTCGATAAGCTAGCAATTCGAACAATAAATTCTTCTAAATTATGGGCTTTAAGAACAAATGGTTCGCATAATGAATAGGTAATAATCCATGAATTTAAAATCATATTATTTCGTTCTTGTAATTGAAATTGTGTTGTTAAATTGTCACGTAACTCTTGAAATCGATGTCGTCCTTTAGTCGAATACAAATCGGCTTTTCTCATCATTTGAACAACAGCCGAACATTCAATAGCCACTTTGATCAATTGTAAATGTTGACTAGAGAGATTTTGAAATCGTTGATGAAGTATTACATAAGCTTGAGTGATTTCTTTAAGTGAACAATCTTCCTTACTACTCAATCGTTTTAGATCACCAATTGATTCATCATTAGTATCCGCTGGAATAATGTCAAATTGGTCTATACAATCAATTATAATGCTAACATGACTGTAATATTGATATATCTGTAACCATTCACAAACTTGCTCAATTTCTCGATCCGTAGGAGTGTTTTCTATTGTTCGTTGTTTTGTGTTGATAGTTGAACGATTGGTAAATAATTTCTTGACTTCGTCACGTACAGATATATTCTTACCACTAAAAACAGTTTTAAGATCAGTCATCTCTCGTAAACTAATACTACCAGTTAATAGTTTATCAATAAATGAAAAGACATGATCAAGTAATTTACTCCATTGATCTTCTTTTATTATTTTAACTGGTTGATTATAATACTTTTGATAGAGCATATTGAATATTCCATAGAATAGATGAGATGTTGATAAACTAACTGATGTAACTCGAAACCACATTGTCAATGGATTGATTGGATTAACATTGTCAATAGTTATTAATAAACATCCACTTTTTTGTGTTTCAAATTCACCATGCAGAACATATTTATGAATTGAAACAGTGTTTTTAGAAAACAATAATTCGGAATGTTCATTCGATTCACTAAATCGATATTCAACTTTTATATTACATGAATGTTTTTCGCCCGCTATAGACCAATGCACATGTTGACGACTATTAATTAGAATTTCTTTTACATGTTGACTTTTACTCTCAATCACGAATGAATTGTTTGGTTGTAAACTTTTTATTTCTTTCATATATTTTATAAATTCATTTTCATTACTCAATGTACCAGATTCGATAATTTGAAATAAATGTAAACAATTAAAAAAATGACACAATCGTCGAAGATCATTGAATGGTCTTAGAAGTCTCACTATTTTTTCGATAATTATTCGAGTTTGAATAAATGTTGTTGTCGAATCATTTCTTATTGTAAGTAAATCAATAAATAATTGTTCAGCTCCTTCGACTTTATATGTTTTAAACCATTCCACAATATGCCGAAATATTTCAATAAAATTATCAAACCATAATAACCATTCGTTTACTTGTCTTATGAAATGATCGAAAAACTGTTCTTTTGATTCAATATCTGTTATATTGATATCTTTTGGCTTTGGAACGGCAATGATCGAATCGATTTTTGGTGTCGTAATAAGAAATTTATATTGCTGTGAATTTATTGATGAGATCATTTTTTTTATGTCAACAGCAGAAATAAAACAAGACAAAATCGATCCATGCAATAGTTGCCGATACATAGCCCATGTACCTAAAAATATAACAGAATGACGATGATTATTCAATCTGCGTTAATAATCAATGCAGAAACATTATCATAGTTTAGGTTTCATGAAGTTTTTTCTTGTTAATAAGTCGTAGGAAGAAAGACTCGTTTCTCTTGTTTATTATTTTTAATATGATGAAAAAGGAATATATAACCGAAAAGCACATCTATTTATTAAAAGGATGATGGATGTTTCACAATCTTTGAATTTAACGATTGAAAAAAATATTCGGTTATAACGCATTTTTGATAAACAACATTCTATTTGGAAAACTAAAAAATCTTGATCATTAAATTATTCAAATATGTTCTATACTATCTAAAGTCAACATTCGACTTGAGAATGAGATATGAAAAGTACTCATATTACAGTCACAGTCTTCTTCTAATAGACTGTAAAAGTATGGAGAATTAAAAATTATTCTACATTTATTGAACTCACCTTTTAGAAGTAAAACATCTTGAATCGTTTGGTTGCAAGTTTGAATGAAATAGTTCACTTGTGTCATATCAATCTTGTGAGTTTTTTCTTGTGCAGCATTGAGAAAGAATCGAACAATAGAACCAATATTTGGAAGTAATGTTAGTGATTTCATGTACTTTACAATGATAATCTCGAATAGATTGATAATAAAAATGATTGTTAATATATCTTTGGCATCGTATTTATCATGATTGACATTGGTCAACCACTCATTCAATTTTAAAAGCATTTCATAAGGACTATCATATTTCGCTTGTAAAAGACTCAATCGTACAAGTCTTGACCAAACATAAATTATCCATTGATTGTTTCGATGACTGTCGCATAGGATTTGATAATTATTACGATCAAAATTCAACCAACCTTGGGGGATATTGACAATATAATCTTGTAGCCAATCATCTTGAATAATACAAGCTGGATCATTATTCTTGTAGAGACTTTCATCCAAATCGTTTAAATTTTGAAATATTCGTTTGATTCTTTCAGCTGTTGATTGTATTTGAGTATCCATAGTGAAAAGCAGATGTTGGTATATGGCTAAACTACCTGATTGTTGAATATTCTTGACTATTGATAATTGACATCGGATGTTGAATAATTGTTTCCAGTCTGAACGAGACAATTGACGTGAATTTTGCCTTTCACGACATCGATTTTCAATAAAAGCATCAACGATCGCTTCTAATATCTCCTTAAAACATGGATGAATATTATTTTTAACCCATTTTTCCAATTCTTGAGCCGAATGAATCAATTTCAAAAATATAGGCATCGATACCAATATAATATGTTTTTTAAGATTTGAAATAAGATGTTTTTTGAGAATTTCACTTAGATCGTCACCTTTGCTTAGATAGAGAAACATCTCCCATAATTGTTGGATATCGACATGTAAAGANTATGAGATACAAGAGTTTTCCAAAAAACTATGATGACTCAAAAATGTATCTGAAGAGGGATAATTCACTTGATTGCTCAAGTGAATTAGGCTAATGAAAATTGCAGATTTCTATCTTGTTACTGTCGAAAATTATCCAAAACACACTGGAGTACATTGGCTTCTGGTGCCCATATTCGTTTCAAAACGAAAGATGAACGACATTTAAAGTGATTTCATATCCAATCAAACAATCTAGTGGATGGTACTGAAATTCTTGGATTCATCTCGAATTGAAAACGTTTTAGATCCATACTTCGATAACCGCTACCAACATACTAGTTATTTTCTTTTGCGATTATAGTTGAATTAGTTACTGTCAAAAAGAAGACATGAAAAACATATTCTTGTATAAATCAAATTTATCTTCAGAGCCAGAGCTTGACACTATCGAATTCAGGTTCAATTGGATTATCTCTTGCTAGGAATGTCCCTAACAGTTAAGGTTCGAAAGAGTCGAATAGAATATTTCTGTCACTTTTCTTAAGTTTGTTTCTCATCGAAGAGGATTTAGAAAAAAAATCTGACAGTTTATTTTTGTTAAAACATGGAACTTAGTTGTAGTATTATAGTTTAACTTTGATTCGATGTTTATAGAAAAAATTTTGAATATATTTCTTTTAAACAAAGATAAGAAAATAAAATGTGAAACCTTGAAATTTATTTTGTCGATGGACCAATTTAAATTTAATCTCATCTGCAAAACTTTTGATTCGTTGTCGACATAAATAATATAACGGTGTTTGAGGTATACAAGAATAATGATTATTTAATGTTAATATTCCTTGATTGATATCAAATGATGAATAATTAATTAAATCAAGTAATTTATTATATTCATTATCTTTATTTGATAATTTAGTTAAAGATTCTAATCCATAATCATCAATAATATATTTCAAAATATGTGAAACAAAATTTGTAAATGATATTCGTATATGAGATGGTAAAGAATCAACAAGACTAGTTAAATGTTTTCCACATAAAGTATCTTTTGAAATATCATAAATTAAATTACAATTTTTTCTTAAATATTCTTCTTTCATTGAAACATTTTCATGATAAATTGTAATGATATGTTTTTGTAATTGATTTACTTGTTGAAAAATATTTTTCAAACATTGAACACGTCGATAAGTAGTTGTTTGTCGTTGATAGAATTCATAAGCATTCGAATTATTAAATAATTCTTGTGATAATTTATGTACATTGATTTGTAAACGAGAACAAAAATCCCATAGACAATCATCAAAAAGAATATTTAAATCATAAAAACAATCATTTATTGTTTCGTTTTGATGAGATTTTTCAATTTTTGAAGTAAATATTTGTAACATTTTTTGTAGATGAAATGCACTACCTGGTGTTGATGTATCGAGAAACCAATAATCCCAATCATATAAAAATATTGAAGGAAAACATAATTTATAATTAAGTTCTTGACTAGATGAATGTATTAGAATAATAAAAAATTTTGATGGATTTTCAGAAGATTTATTACAAGAAAGATCTGTTTTGTCAATTAATTGTCGAACAAATGGAATATGTATACGTTGTTGTCCAATACGACCATCAATAACAATAATAAGAATAGATTTTTGATTTGATTGTTCAAATGTTTGAAATTGTTCAAGTAATTCATTTGAATTTTCAATGATTGCCTGAAAAACAAACATTGACTTTTCTGTTAGAATGTCAAAAAGAAGATGTTGGATATAGTAAAATGATTTACGATGTAAGAAAAACCTCACTTGAAAAATGACTGAGTTAAGGATATAATGTAGTCTTGGGTTCGCGGTTCAAGTCTTAACACTGGTACTGCCCGTCTCTAATCATCGAACTAGTCAGAAAATGACTTTCAAAATAAGTAGAATAAAGTAATCTCGCAATGATTACACCAACAGATTTTCTTTTTCTGAAGTTGATGAACTTATGTTTTTTCTCTTTAGTTACATCCACAATCTACTGGTTCATCACATCTTTACACAACTCATCTTTACTCTATCATTACAACAAGCACAATATATCCATAGAATATCTCAGTTTGGTTCACCGAAAGATCCTATGATACGAACGTTTTTTTTTTTGAAAGACTTACGAGATTTAGAACATCAACTTTTTCACTAATGTTCATTGTCATATAATTTTCATCATTCTTATGAAATAAATCATTTTGTGATTGTTTATTTAAGCCAATAACAAATGATGATGTTCGAGTGAATATCATCAATTTTCTTGTAATAATAATATTATTAATTTTTTGATAGGTAGTATCGTTCATAGTTAATAATTCTCTATCATCGATAGTTAATGATGGACTAGAAATAAATCGATAAAGAAAATTTTCAATATTAAAATGTTCATGTTGATAAAAATAATTTTGACATAATAATCGAGCTGTATTTTCATCGAATGTTGGTAATTTAAATATCATTGATTCAGGTGAAGCTAATTGTAAAAATTTTGAAAGAATAGAAAAAAGAATACATTGTTGTTTATTATTTAAATCTTGTTCAATGAATGATTTTGATTGAATTGTTAATTGTGTATAATTATCATGAATATTTGATAGATAAAATTCGTTTTGATTATTTCTTTTAATAAATAATAAAAGACATGAATATAATGTTTCATTATTAAATCCATAGAAATATTCTTTTCCAAAATGATCAATAAATGATCGAACTTTTATTTCAATATTTTTCATAAGATTTTGTTCTTCGATAGGAATATTTCGTAATTGAATTGAATAAAAATCTGCTATACTTAAAGAATATTTTTGAAAACGACTTAAAAATGGTGCTGGAATATCTTTAAATTCACTTCGTTTAATATGAACAATACATTGAAAATCTTCATGTACAATAACATCAATTGTTTTCGGACCAATAGCTACTTTCGAAAAGATTTTTCGACTTTCTTCAGTAGCCATAATAGAAAAATTTTGATTGAAAACATCATAAAGTGAACCATGAATACGACCTGTATTAATCATTAAAATAGTTTTACCTGTTTCCATACATAATTTAATATTTGATAAGATTTCAACATTTCGTAATTCATTATCAATATCATCAAGAAAATCAGGCATACGAAAAACAGTTGTTCGATTTGGATCAGAATCGAGTATACCAAATTGAAATAGAAGACGAACAGCACTTTCATCTTCAGATTCATCAATTATTAATTTATATCTACCATAGAGACGACGACGTATTGGATCTAATTTCATTGAACTATGTAGAATTGTTGGAATATTACGTTGAATTTGTTGTTTTTCAGTGATTAATACTCGAAAATCAGGACATTGTTCTCCAACAGCTGTAATAAAAATATCAACTAATTTATCAAATTCTTCTATTCGAATTCCATTAAAATTATCTTCTAATGCTTGTAATAAACTTCTTGGTGTTATTTCTCCTATACTAATTTCTTCAATTTCATTTACATTTGTCAATTCAAATCGTAATTCTCTTAACATATAGATAAAATCACGATCATGAAATATATGAGGAATATCTGGTGAATAAAGAATTCGTCGATAACCCTGACATAAACCATAGATGATTTTATCAAGACGATCATTAATGGTTGCTTGTCGTTTTTCTAATTGTAAACCCAAACAACCATAAGCTAAAATTTTCTGATCATCTTCAGATGGTAATGAACGATAAATACAAATCATTCGATTAGCATTAGCCGCATCAAATGCTTTATTAGCAACTGCCACAAATGCTACTTTACATTCATCTAAATAAGGATGTAAAACTTTTAAGATCATTTTCTTTTCATCGGGTAATGAGGCTTCATCTAAGAAAACGACCTAAAATGAAATTTTAAAATAGAATAAGATTAATCATTTTGTTTTACATACGCATCGTGTATTCGTTCGATTTTGTTCATATTGTTGTTCACGTTTGATAGCACGTTCAAAAACAGAAGCAATATCTTCGGAACGACTATATTTTGATCCAAGACAAAAGAATGGATCAACAGCAGGAAGACGTTTACAGAATGATTTTACTGATAATTGTGAACCTTGAAGATTTTGAAGAACAATTTGAAAAGATAATGTTTTCGATTGACCTTTCATAAATAAAATTATAGATTTGTTTTTTTGTTAAAATTAGATTATAATAAATGATTTACCAGGTACACCAATGATACATAAAGGTGTTCGTGTAACAATACTAACTACAATTGAAAAGATATGTTCACGAACCTAAAAATAGGAATCAATTAATTAATGAAACGATAAAGAAACAGAGTACAACATACAGCTTGATTAATTGCTACTCCTTGTGGAATAATAAAATTATTTGTATTAACAAATCGTTCTAATTCATTTTGAATGACTTGATCAAAATTTGGTATAGCTTTACAGAGAACTTCAGCTAATTGTTCTCGTGATGGTGTCTTTTTGTCATTACGTTGAAAATTATCTTCTTTTGTTGGAAGTCGAAAATAATAGATTAATGCAATTGATAAAGCAATACAACGAGTAGGATTAGGTGTATATGTATTTTGATCATACTTAAGTTCATCATCATATCGCATTTTCCAAAAGAATTCTATTAAATTGAAACATCGTTGAATCTCTCGTTGTGAAACCGAATTACATCCTACGAAAAAAAAAAACATAAAAGTAAAAATTTTGAATTTATCAAAGAGAAATAACCGAGATTTTGTTCACAAAATTCTTGTGCTCGTAAAATTGCATCAGCTAATGTATGTTGAACAAAACCTTCTAATGGAATCGTTTTTTCACTATTTGTTCTTGAAGTTATTTGAAACATAGCTATTTTTCGAACAATATAATCAGCTAATGTTCTAGATTCTAAAGGTCCATAGGAAACTTTTAAATCTTTTAATGATTGTGGTAAATCATGAACAAGATAATCACTACGATGAATTTGTGGTGTATTTTCTTCAATTTTTATCAATGGATTAATAGCAGCTGTAAAGAAAATATTTTTCGGTATATTTGTACCATGTAATGTTCCATCCATGAACATTTCTTTGAATAGACCAAGACATGATGCTGTATTAACTTCATCAAAGAAAATGACTATTTCTATTTGTGGTATTTCTCGAGCTAATTGAGAAATAGGTGACATAAATTCGACTAATTGTTCTTCAGTTATACCAGGATGTAAAAGAAGACGATAGAATAATGATTTCATTTGACTATAAAATAAATATTCTTTGAATATTTCAATGGACATTTCAGTAGTAGATGAACAAATTTCTTGAAGTAAACTTTTCAATCGAGAACTAATTTCAATTAATGGATATTTTACTAATTCATTAGTAACATAGACATGTAATTTTTGAATTAATGTTGTTGTTGAAATCAGAGGATATTCAGTTGCAACATTAAGAATTGTTTTCCAAATGAAATATAGAATATTCTTTTTTAATTGATATTTTGCTAAAGAAAGTTTAACTTGTTTTAATAGAATATTATCGACTGGTGCATTATTTTGTTGTTGTTCTGCTACAGGTAGGATTAGCACTGGTCTTGGTCGTTGATTGAGGAGTTCATCATTATCATTGTCATTATTGTTTTCTAAATCTAAAATTTTTGATTTGATTCGTTGAAGAAATATACTCAAGAGATTCGTTTGTTTTTCTATGATCGTTTCAATAATATCAAGAAGAAATAGACTAGAATTTTCCATAATTCTTGGAATAATATTTCTTTGAAGAGAATTATGCGTATTTTTTGAATTCAATAATAATGAATAGAATTTCAAAAGAAATGTTTTACCTACACCAGTATCACCTTCAATAATTAAAGCTAATTTTGTTAATTTTCGTTCATGTACATGAAAAAGTTTATAAACAAAATTTTCTGTTAAAATAAATTTTGTTTCATGAACAATTTTCATAAATGTTTCATATTTAATATCAATTAACCATGATAAACATTTAGCAAAATAATCTTTATTTTGATATTGTTCATCTTTAAATGGATCACAATTATTGAAAAAACTTTTTAATTCATTTGAAACATGATTCCAATTAGCATGTAATAAATGTAAAGCAAATCCTGGATCATAAATAAGATAAACTCGAGGATAATAATTATCTTGAAAATTAATTTGTGTTAAAGATTTTGCTTCATTAATCATTTGTTGCATAGCAATAGTACCTAAATTTTGAATATTTTGATTCCAACAATAGTAATGTCCTTCAAAGAAACGTACACGACGATATAAAAATTTCGTAAATGAAAGTTCATAGATTTTATTTTTTGGTAAATCTGGACAATATTTTTTTATACAATTATAAATATATGTTCGACATGTATCAAAATTAGTTATTGGTTCGAAATTAACGGGTACTTCACGGCCAGTCTTTGTCATTGTTACCATACGATCAATAGTTTTATCTTCAAATGCTTTTAAGAATCGAGCTACAATTTCTTCTTCTTTATCAATAGATAATTGATAATTATCATCAGTAACTTCTTCTACTGTTAATGGAGAAATAATGGAAAGAATCGGCAAAATTAGATTGAAATTTTCTCGAACATCAACACCAAAAACATCTGAATAGGGAATTTCAATAATAAATTTCCATGTTCGAATATGTGGTAATGAAAATATTAAACCACTAGCTGGATCCTTTAAACATCCACAAATGAAAAGTGAAAATAATGTTCGATTTAATTCTTCGAATGGTGCATGAATAGATATATTGAAAAAAATCGATGGATTATTATTAATCATATTTGAATCAAATAAAAGAAATGAACTGATTAACAATGAAAGATTTAATTTATCATTAATACTAAAACATGACGTATGATCAGTTTTATATTCTTTGTTGATACGATGAGTTTTACCTGATGACGAAAAAATATTTAGAAAAAAAACAAAATCTATATTTTTAAACAATAAAGATTATATACTTACCAATACCCGTTTTACCACAGATAATTTGAATTTGTGATGGTATAATGTGATGTTCTTTGAATCGATTCATTAAATGTTGATAACTTTGATTAGAATTTTTATATTTAGTTGGTATTTGAAATTCTCGTAGACCTTTTCGACGCGTTGTTAATTCACATGAAAAATAAAACACTCTTCCATGTATATTTTGTTCACGTGTTAGTAAATCTTGTTCATGTAAAAGTAATTCTCGTAGACGATGATGCATTTTATCAATATCCATAATAACAAATGTAAGAGAAGGAAATGTTCGTATACGAGAAAAAAATAAATGAATATCTTCATTAGTTGTATTAGAACACCAAAGAATTTGATAAGAAGATGGTAATTGATTTTCAAAGATATTTAATAGAATACAACAAGTATCGAGATCAAAATCATGTGCAAATGAAATTTCATTCGCAGTCGATGAAGGACGATTGATATTAACAAGAAATTGTTGATTTTCATTATGTACGTGATTCTGTTGAAATATTTCATCATCATATTCAAATAAATCTTGAAGAAATTCTGATAGTATTTTCAAATACATATCTGTATTTAATTCAATTTCAATACGATGTTTTTGATAAAGTTCAACAAGCTGATTTGTAGTTAAATTTGCTTGGGAAATTCTTAATGAACGAAGATAATGTTCAAGACAATGAATAGCTAATTTTTGTTCTTCATCATTTTGATTATTTAAATCTCTATATGAAAATAAATTTTTTAGAAAATTATTTCGAATAGAATTCGGTGCATTCGATGTTCGAAGTAGAATAATTAAAATCATAATTTCACGATTAGAAAATAATTTTAATAATGAACATATTTGACGATATTTCTCTAGATTTTGTATCCACATATCATATGTCGCTTGTAATGTATTGTATATTAATTGTAAATTTTGAATTTGAATGTGAATAGCATTTTCTAAGAGAGCATTTTGATGACTACGTAAATCGTTTAACATTGAACCAGCATTAGCTGAAAAACAAATAAAAAACATGAGGAAAATATTTCTCGAATGAATTTACTGAGTTCAAAGTATCTACATGCGTACCCATGGATCATTGGCTACGAGTTATGCTCGTTTTACTGGATTTTCGATTGAAACTTTCAGAATATTCTAAGGATCATTAGACCTATTTATAGGTGAAATTTCAGTTCGAAAACCTTTTTTTTTTATTTTTCGGTGAATACTTAAAAACAGGTCGAATATTTAGCAAAACAGTCATAACTTGAAGCCAAAAAATCATGGACACGAGCCCTTCTAGTTTTTTGCTAACCTCACGGATACGTCTCTGTGAGTTCAATTTGAGCTCAAACGGTTGACGTCACTTTGGTCGATAGTCCTCTGGTTAGTACATGGGCACTTATCCAGTACCAACCATAATATCTGTCCATTTCCTATAGCATTCTATGAAAAATTTTTGTGAAACATGTTCTAAAAGAAGTAGTGTCATCTAATAGTTAGATTCTCGGTAGACACATTATCCTTTCTGTTGCAGATACCGTAGTAACAATTACCTCTGCACGTCGCAAATCCCAACTAACACCCACACTCACACTGAATATTGAGAAACATTCTATAGTGAAGTGTTAAAAATTCACAAAGCACCGAAAATTTCTTGTAATATACTGTGTAGGAAGGTATCCTGAACTTATTAGATTCACGAGAGTTCGTCTTTAATCGAAAAATAGTTTCTTACTGTGTTGAAGATGAATTTCATAATGTTCATCTCGTAATTGATAATCAGGATGACCAGCTAATTCTAATTTAGTAAAAATATGATAGATATTTTCAATTGTTTTTAATAATTTTAATTGTTCATTAATTAAAGTTTTTTTATAGATTAAATTTTGTTGAACATCAACATTACAAAATGTTAATTGACGTTTATGATCATCAATATCTGACATTGATAATAGAAATTGATTTTTTTTTGCTTTAATTCTATCATTGTCTTCACTTTGTATACGATCAATCGAATAACCAATTTCATAATATGATGGTTTTCTCGTTAAACGTCGTAAATAAATATCAACAGTTCCACTTTTATATAAATGTTCCATAGTAATTAAAGCATTGTCTAACACTGTCGTTTCTTCTGCTGATAACCACATTGTTACAATTGGTATATGATCATTAATTACTAGAAAAAAAAAATATAGAAAATAATTATAAATATTTCATTGATATTTTTAAATAATTGATTAATTGAAATTGATAGAAGGAAGACAAAGTGGATCTTGATGGTTTCTTCGTAAATACCTGTCTTATTACTGAAGCTTACCTTTGATATGATTTAATGAACTTTCTTCTAAATTTGATAGTTCAACAAGACAATGAACAAAATCTTTGAAATTTTTAGCTTGAAAAATAAATGGTTCAATTAATGTATATGTTATAATCCATGAATTTAGAATCATATTATTCAATTCTTGTAATTGAAATTGTGTTGTTAAATTATCTCGTAATTCTTGAAAACGTCGTCGTCCATGAGTAGAATAAAGCTCGGATTTTCGCATCATTTCAATAACATTCGAACATTCAACAGCTGTTTTAATTAATTGTAAATGTTGATGAGTTAAATTTTGAAAACAATCTTGTAATATTCTATAAGCTTGAGTTATATCTCTTAATGAACAATTTTCATTACCACTCAAACGTCTTAAATGACCAATTGTTTCTTCTTCATCATTTAATGGTAAAATATCGAATGTTTCAATACATTTCATAATAATATTGAGATGACTATAATATTGATAGATTTGTAACCATTCACAAACTTGTTCAATTTCTTTTTCATTTGAATCAATATTTGGAATATTTACTTGATCATTATTTTGTTCATTCGTACGATTTGTATATAATTTTTTAACTTCTTCTCGTATATTAATATTTTTATCATAGAAAATAGTTCGTAATTCTTCCATAGCTCGTAAAGTTACATCACCATTTAAAAGTTTATTTATAAACTCAAATACTTGATCAAGTAATTTACTAAAATCATCTTCAGAAATAATTTGAGGATTTTGTTGATAACATTTATCATAATGAATATTAAATATACCATGAAATAAATAACAAGTTGATAAACTAATAGATTTAATACGATACCATATTGTTCGAGATGAATCATTATTATTATTATTATTATCAATCGTTATTATTAATTGACCATTACGTTGACTTTCAAATTGACCATGTAGAACATTTTTATGAATAGGAACATTTTCTTTTTGATATAATATTTCATATTGATTATTTTTTCCATGAATTCGATATTTAACAGTAATATGACATGGATGATTTTCACTTGCTAATGACCATTGAATTTGTTGTCGATCACTTATAGAAATAATATGTTCGTAAGTGGCATTAGCTTGTACCATAAATGTGTTGTTTGGTTGAAAACGTTTTAATTCTGTAAGAAATTTCAATGTATTATCCTGAGTATTTAATGTTCCTGGATTAAGAATTTGAAATGAAATCAAACAATTGAATAGATGACAGAGACGTCGAAGATCTTTGAATGGTTGTAAAATTTTCAAAACACGATCAATAATTAATCTCATCTCGACAAAAGTTATTTTGAAATCATAACGAATATTTAATAAATCCATTGATAATTGACTCGAACAATTAACATTATGATTTTTTAACCAATCGATGATATGTTGAAAAATATCAATAAATCGATCAAACCAATCAAACCATTCATTTATTTGTCGAATAAATCGAGCAAAAAATTCTTCGTTAGATTCGATATTTGTTATATCGATATCTTTAGGTTTAGGTAAAGCAACAATACCATCAATATTTGCATTTGTTAATGGAAATTTATATTGTTGAGGATCAACTGAACCAAGAATTTGATGTAAATCGATCAACGGAAGGAAACAACGAATGATTGAATCAGTTGATAAATCACGATATAATGAACATTTACCTAGAAATCAAAAATTAATCTAATGACATTATTTGGTTTCTCTATTGAATATACTGAATTCTATGTACTTTTATACTAAGTCAATACTCAGCAAGGTTTGAGTATCATGTTTAATAATCGTCTAGTATATGGGTACTTAACATATACCTGTCAAGCTAATATAACATCGTATAAACAATTTCTCAACAAGTTAGAACACTAAATGTTGAGAAAGATTGTGTAGGCAAATACTAAAAATCCATAAAGTACACTCAAAAGTTCTTATGATATATCAAGTAGCAGAGTACTCTGAGCTCCGTATATTTACAAGAGTCGAAACAGTGGTCAGTCGACTTGCGTTATTTGCTACTAACTGTTATATTTAACCAGAAACATGTAGAACGATCGAAACAAAGGTAAAATCTATTGTTGTTTATGATTAACGAGATAGCAGAACGTTTAAGTATGAGATAAAACATGAATAAACAGCTGATTAGGAATATTTTGATATATAAATGAACTTACTCTTCAAATGGAAAACTTCATAAACCTTTTCTAAACCATTGCTAATAAAATTGTTAATTTGTCGGACATATATTCTTCGAGATGTATTTTCGCGCATAGATATGATGAAATTCATAATTATATCAATATTTGGTAACAATAAAATTGATCTGAAGTATTTAATAAGTACTAGTTCAAATAATTTATTCACTAATATAATTGTGAAAATATCCGTGGGATTATAAATATGATGTTTAACTTTTTTCATCCAATCATTAATTTTGAATAAAATATCTGCATGATTATTATTTAGTATTTTTGAAAGACTTAAATGTACAAATCGTGACCAAATGTAGATTGCCCAAGGGTTATTCTGATGATTTTCACATAAATATTTATATGTCTCTTGATCCAATTTTAACCAAATTTCCAAATTAGTGATGAGAAAATCGTTTAACCATTCATCATCAATGATTTTCTCTGCCGCATATTTTTGACACAAGTTCTCATCAAAATCTTTCAAATTTCCAAATAGACTTTTGAGTTTTTGTGCGTCGGTCTTATAATAAATTTCAGTTTCACAGAGGATTTTACGAACAAGAAGTAAACAAGAAGATCTTTCTAAACAATTAGTTGAGGACATTTCTAGACCGACTTCTAAAAGATCTTTGCAATCTGTTCGAGAGAGCTGATACGAATATTGTGAATAATCGAACTGCATAATAACATAAGCATCAAAGATTTTCTCGAATAATTCGATGAAACGTGAACGAAATTCAGGTTTGATTTCTTCTAAAGAAATCTTGGCTGATTTGGTATATCGATGGAATGTTCCGACGGAAGTTGATGGAATTTTTTCAGTTAATATTGCTATTACATGTTTTTGATTAACATTATCGATAGCATTAATTTTACATAACTTTATAAACATATCCCAGAGATCGTCTGTGTTCACATTAGAGGAATAGTGAGAAAAATATTGATCAAATAGTTGATGTTGCGATCTTAGCGATATGAACAATTCAGCAATATCTTTCATTTCATACCATTTGTTTTTAATACCATTAATGAATATCGATTGAAATTGTACAAAGAACATGTTATTGTTGAGTTTTAGATTTTGGTTCAATCGAAGAAAAGTTCTAAATGGCGATTCCTTTGCTTCTTTTGAAGAATGCATTCGATTAATAAGATAAATAAGCACTGGTGTATCGAATGGAAATTGTATAAATGCTTCTTGATTATTTAGATACACTTGAATAAATTGTTCTAAAGAGATTTTGATCTCTTTCACTTTAGATAATATGTCGATCCATTGAAGACGATTATGAGGATCATTAATGACTTGTGAGGCTTGAATTGATAGTTTACTTATAACAAAAAATTTATTTAATGTGTTTAAGTCCTCAATGGTAGAGATTGATAATAGATATTGAGAAATATCCATTCTTAATAGTAGATCTTTGTCTATTACAAGAAGATTCGGTTGTTGACCTTTCGTTTCTTCGAATGTAGAGACCAATAAATGAAACAAATTCTGTCTGAGTTTGTGTGAAGGTTCATAATTTTCATGTATCATATTAATGTACTCTTGAATCCGACGGTAAATATATAGATAAGCATCTATTCGTTTTCGTGAACGAGTAGAATTTTTCTTCGATGTCAAATCAGCGTTTGTACATTGTGTAATATGATCCACATCATGAGCAGATATTTTGTCTTGTCTTCGGTTGAAGTCATCAAAGTGAAGGAAGCGTGTTAGTACTGAGTTGAGAAATTCCGTTTCAACATCATCCAAATCGAACACGCTTCCACAAAATTTGGCTGGTTTAGATATGGTTACTTTACCATTAAACCAGCTCGATAAGTAACTTAACATATTCAGTATTGAAAATCTACGAATGAATAAAATCAAAGCAAACTTGTTCTCTGAAAGGAAAATATCTATTTATAGGATTTTTGGAAGCATCCGATGGATCGATCCTATCATGTATTATATCAATTGATAGAAGATAATTCAAATTGATTAATGCCATTGAAGAGCATGAAGTTTCATTGTGTACGTAATATTGCTATCTCCTTTTTTTCTGTGTATGAGATGATGACAACAAAGTGTATCGATTGACATAAGAAATGACTCAAAAGGAATGAAACAACAAAGTAGAAACAAGTTCATGTGAACTTTAGACTTAAATAATAGGAGAGCCACAAAGAGAATATCAACAAAGGAAAAGAATGAACGAAACAAGTTACATGTGACCGCGATATGTATGAGTATTCTTACAACACGATTCTCTATACATGGATGGAAATACAAATTGAATGAAGTGATCAAAGAGAGTTTGCACTCATGAAAAAAATACAAGCAGCTTCAAAGCAAAAATATTTTATAATTGTATGATTGATCTCAAGAGACAAGCTGGTGTCAAATATTGACAGAACTGAACTGTAAAAGATTCGCATTTTATTTAACAACCATCGATTTCCACATCATTATCGACTCACAGCAATAGTGAATCGAGCAGATAAATTTGTTTCAAAGAATTGAAACGTTAGAAAATACAGACTTTTTGTCCTCTTTTCTGGTTCTCATATTTTTGATCAACTAACAAGATTAATATCACTAAATCAAGTTTGAAATAATAATTTTACTAAAACTATTCAATGAGATCTCTCAAATAAAACTATTTGTGTTTAACCCTTTATCCCCCCCCCTCCCTTGGTCACTGTAGTGACCATTTGTAGAACATTTACAGAAACTAAAGGAAGCATTGGATTCAAAAATGATTAGAATCTTTTTTTGTAGTAAATTTTATGAGCTATCGATTTGTAAAAAGAATATTTCTTTTCATTGCTTCATCATTGAAATATTCGGTATACAAAATCGATAATTTAAAAAAAATTAAAAAATATCGAAATTTTTTAAACAAAGCGTTCTCTAGTCGCAGTCAGTAGAGATCTTTTAGCATTGTTTCGCGATATTAGTCGATGAAGAGGGCAACTGGTGTATTGAATATGTTTCGGAAGTTTCATGATAACCTCGCGAATTGCACATACAAAGAGACACAATTGACCATGTAGCCACTGTGGACAGATGGAAGGTAATCAAGAACAAAGTTAATACAGGTATTATCAATTTCAACCCATGACAAATCGAAATAGTATTTATGATGAATTAGAATTCTGAAGTTATAAAATGACTCAGAGCAAAATAGGCTATAATTTGACAATACGTGTAAAAAACATGTGTATTCTTTGCAATTAACTTTTATCGGTTCACTCTTTGCCTTTTTTTCATTACTCTAATAGTGCGAGATAGATGTTAGTTCCATTCATTCAATAATGTAGTCAAAGAAAAGAAAATCGAGTCTTACAATATAGTTCAATTCTCTTTCTGCACCACATGACTGCTGGATCAATTAAGCCGTCTTACTCTAGGAGCAGGACATTTGGTGGATTAGATCGCACCATTTGCATATTATGGAGGCTAGTACTTCATTTATAAAGTTATTTTATTAGTGACTCTTCTGGAACCGCTATGGGGGGTAAAGCGTTAAATACACCAGCTGGTTTTGTCTTTAGTTATAGAAATCTCTTGAGATTTTATACTAATCAAGCCTCGATGGATCGTTTTAGACATGTTTTCAGAGCTCAGACGAAAGTAAACGTACTTGTACTTAAGCGAAGTACTAAGTCCTTGTACTTTGAGAAAAGTACGTGGCACTTACACTTATTAATTGAACCACATAGTTTCAGAATTACATTTTAGTACAAAAATTGAGCTTTTATCAAAATGAAAGATGATTGATTTAAAATTAATTGTCATTTGAATAGATTGGAAAATTTTTACATGGTTCTACAAGTTTTCGTTAAAATAGACTTTCATGTTTCGACGTATAAAATTTTAAAAATTTTCAGTCACATTTCAAAATAGATCTGATAGGTTGCTTGCATAAGTTCAATATTCTAAGGCGACTCAGATGAGCATCATCCTTTATGGATCTCATTCTTCGTTTCGAAGAAACTCAAAAGATGACACAAGACAATTTTTACAAGAACCCTATAGTGACTTCACTAACATACTCAAGAAAAAAGTTGAATTAACATCTTATTTCCATCTAACTTGCTAGTAGTCGGTGCCACAATTATCCTAAAACGTTTATTAGCGTAGTCACCATTACAGATCACATTTTATATTTATGCATCCAGTAAAAATACAAAATAAATACTTTTTTCGTACGTAAGTACAAGTACAGGTACAGAAGCAAGTATGGTTGTTCAAAGGAAAGTACAAGTACATTTTTTCAAGTACAAGCAAAATAATTTTACTTGCTGTACTTGTACTTATCCTAGCTCTGCATGCTTCTATTGATGTATGGATCTGTATGATAATCGATGATACAAAAGAAAACTTGCGTGATTCGCCGTTTTGGGAAAATAATTGAACAAAGAGAATTGAAATTATTCAAAGACTAAATGAAAAATATGGAACAATAACTATCTTAAAGCAACTCTTATTGCTGGGCGATTTCAGATTAATTGAACTCTCTTCTTTAGTCGTTTCTAGGCATCGTTGTAAAACGACCTCGTTAAATGTTTTAAGTATCTCTAATAATAGACCGATACCCGTACAAACAACACTTTCATCATCGAATCTATTTAGTTCTGATAATTCTAGATCTATACTCTATTTCTATCTAAAGCTACTTAGTAATATTGAGATACTTTCTCCCTCCAAACATTAAACTATTCTTCACATTGACATGGATTTGACCTGGAATCGAAACGATCCTCCTTGATCATCTTGGTAATACTAAAGATCATGTCAAAGTATTTATTAATACTTGAATAGCTTGAAAATTATATTGAATGAAACAAGCAAGACTTTCATCGACATAATCTCAATGGAACTTTCAAGGTTGCTAAGTACATCCTACCTCAGGACATAATATAAAGTTGAGTAAAGATTAGACTTTCGAAGAGTTTCTTAATTTGTTAAATAAATAGTGAAGACCTCATACTAATCTACCATTTAATAATGGACAGATAGCATCCAACTCTTATATTTTACCTACTGAGAAAAAGCTTTTAGAAAAGATAAAAGAATAAATATTGAATCACAAAAGAGAGAAATATTTCAGTTGAAGCTGTGTTGAGTTTTCTTTTATCATATTTCGTTCTTTGTAAACACAAGACAAATGAAAGTAGGCAAAAAATTAAACACTTTGTTATATCTTCGTTATCAGTATACGATAATGTGCGTCCCATTGCTGTCAAGTTGATACATCTTATATTATATTGAATCATTCTTCATTGTGATCCAATCTTTTGATAGTCGACTAAACAAAGACGAGGCAGGCACTTCGAGACTGATAAAACCCGAGGGATTATTCATATTCAAAGGTGGTAGGAACCAAGAGAAAATAAAACCACCAGTCACTGTCATCATGTGAGCGACGAGTTTGGGTGTGGGTGGGCGTGGGTGTGTGGGTGTGGGTGTGGGTGTGGGTATGGATGTGGGTTAAGAGAAGAAGAATCCACACCTACACCCACTCGCCCACCCACACCCCACACCCACCCTATACAGAAATGTTATTTTTGCTTAATTTTTGTAATATTTTTTCCTAGAATGAGATTAAGATTTATTTGAACACTAAAAATGATCATCTTGTAAAGAAAAATTTATGTCAATGAAACTCATATCATTTTAATATATTTCATAGGATTTTTTTCGAAAAATAGTAACATCTTTGTTTACTGAGTCTAATATTACCCCGTAAAGAAATGTTACATGACAGATACAATCCTTATTTTGTTTTATGTTAGTGTTGTACATTGATCACCATTTATATTAAACTGAGCATATCCGAAATAATTATTTCTTTTTTTATATCGTAATTTGACAAAAAGAAAAAGAAAAAGAAAAAGAAGATTTGGACACTGTTTTAATAAAAATGAAAATCATAAAAGTAAACCAATGCCTTGGAAATATTTACGAAGTACACATTTGAGTTAGTGAAAATCTTCATATAGTATTTTTCTCAAGTTGATTGTATGTTTTTGATCTTGAGAGTTATAAAAATGATCAATAGTTATTTTTTATTTAAAAATAGAAAAGTTTTTCTTTTAATAAATTTCTTCTTGTAAAACATTTTAAGAATTGTATCAAATATCTAAAATATATTTTGCGAAGTAATAAGAATTTCTTTTTTTTGTTTGTTTCATTATTGAGTTATATGTGCTTACACCATCTTGGTTGTCTTTATATCTCACGATCAACAATTCGCAAATTTGCTCAGAACGAAACACCTACAATGGGAATGCATTATGTTAGAGAACTCGACAAGTGGAATAAGTAGTGAACTTGGCTTTTTGGATTTTTTTGTCGACAATATCTTGCTTTCACTCATCGTGCCACAATCTTCATCAATAGCAGTAAAAGCATGTGTAATATTTAGATGTATAGTAAGTGTTGTAGTCAGTCTATGACTCATGTATTGGCTACAATACCTGGTTAATATATATGTAGTACCTGTAATATCATTACCAGTAATTATGGTTTCAGTGTATATTTTCCTTCTTGATGTTATTATGCCGAATTTTAATGGAAGTGGCTATGTACATTCATGTGAACATAGCTGACCGACTATGTACACTCGTGCACACATAGCTGACCGGCTATGTACACACATATGCACATAGCCGACTTGCTATGTACACTCAGGCAGGCATAATAAGTTCGTTAGTAAATAGTAAGTTTTATTATTGTATAAAATGTACTTCATTATTAATGTAAACAAAATTTCTTAACTTATTTACTAATTTGTCTTTATTAATTCTTTATTACATTCCAATAAAGTACAAATCAAGCATCGCAATCAAACAGATATAGAAAAGTAGTCGCGTGTGGGTGTTGTGAGTGTGGGATAAGCGTCTGTGTAATGTTGGGATTTGCCTGCGTGAATGTTCCTGTGAGTGTTGCGTGTAGGTATCGGTCTGTGGACTGTTGGTGGAGTGCTGGTGTACGGGATTGGTCTGGGTGTGAATAATGTCTTCCGGTGCTGGTGGTGGTGGGCTTTGTCGCATACAATGCCGCCTGTGTCTCGGATCCACCCAAATTCGAGCTACACATGCTACAATTTTTATATTTGGTTGAGCGCAATACATGATTGATGCTTTTTTGAGCGTAATGAAGAATTAATAAAGTCAAATTAGTAAATAAGTTAAGACATTTTATTTACATTAATAATGCAGTAAATATTAGAATATAATATAACTTAATATTTAATAATTAATTGATTAAATCTACCTGTGTATACATAGACATTACACAGGCGATTGGCTATGTGCACATGAATACACATAGCCACTTCCTCAAATAAATGTTAAAGTCCTTCATCACTCAAGAAGTAGAGAAGAAAACCCTTCGTATACTTGTTACCAGTCAATCCCTCTTCTCGGCGCATATGAAATTATTGAGCTCAAGCGAGGCAAACCATGTGTCTCACATCTCGTCTTGTTTCGTGACTTTCCAGCTTGTGTCTTGTCTCGTCACACTTTTATACTTTCTTTCTCGTCATGCACGTGATCCTGCAAAATAACTCAATGAAATAAACACTGGCAAACTAGTTTATTTCAATCAATTACAATGAACCAAACCCTACATTAATATTTTCTTTTTAACGACTTAGACCTTTCTCCTCCATCCGTCGAGATTGTGATAAGTTGATGGAAGAGAAATTTCGAGAATTGCAAATGATTATTTGAGCCCAGGTCGACGATTACGAACTTCGTATACGACTATAAACGACCATTTTTTTCTCCGTATATCACCGTATTTCTCCGTAAACGACAGGGAGATCTACAATCGTAATACCGTACCATGTATTTTGTCGTATTTCTCCGTATACGATCGTTTACGGGCGTGACTGTTCGCCCTGGGAATATGTCATTCGGACAGCAGAGAGAAAAAGAAAACTTTATAAATAAAAAGCTGAACGAACTAATGCATGAGTATGGATAATAAGAATCTGAGCAGCATTACCAACCTCTGAGAAGGCGATATTCTGAGACCTTGTATTGATTTTTACAACGGTTATTTAAGTCTGGTTGTATTTTATCGATTTTAGAATATGTTTCCAAGATCTCTGCTCAATCTTGCAAATGAAGTCACTCATTCAACTTGCATCTATCAAGACGTCTGGTATTGTTAATAATTGTCAGTCTCAAATATAGTTTTACAACATTTCAAGAAACAAACTCTGCAATAAAGCTTTGAGCTTGGCTATAACGTATGGCAATAACAAACTTTTCTCTATACTTCTGTTGTTTTCATACATACATCGCAACTTTTTTTCTTTGCTTTATACTAATGTTAGTTGGCTAGACATCATACTAACTTTCTTTCTTTCACCATAATATCTCGATCGGTATTTTAAAACTTTTGCACATATGCTACTGTCAGTGTAATTTGCGAATAAGCCACATAAAAACTCAACCTTACGAAACAATTCAAGACTGCTATCAATGTAAAATGAAAGTTCCATGTCGAGTTGTACCCATTAACTAACAGATGTAACTAAAACAATCAGTTTAGTGTTTATTGTTTCAGTCCTAGTTCACTTTCAACACATGAGAGAACAGTAAAGAAAATACATTTACTCGCTACATATTAGATCGTAAGTAACTTATCCTCAGTGATTTGAATCAATCGAATGACAATCTATTTTTTTACTCTTGTATATTCAACAATCGCTTAGTGATTAAGACTAATGCTAATGCTCAAGTCATATAAAATATTATTTTCAGCTGAGTTGATAAAAAAATCATGATGTTAAAAGAGACAAAAATGAATTTTAAACTTCGTTAAACTATCATTCTAGATTGAAACTAAGTTAAAATATGTTAACACCATATGTAAACTTATTTGTCATGATCTTATAACAATAAAATGTCGATTTCATTTATCTTAAAGAGAAACTAATATTTTTTCCCCGGAAAAGCAAATAGGCCATTATTGAATTACGTGCCATTATGAAAATTTTATTTTTCGAAATGATTTATTTTTCAATTCGATTATATGTTTTCATTTGAATAAAGAACCTGCTGATGGACGAGTGATTTTGAAAAACTAATTAAAATCTAAATTTGACTGATAAACCTTCGATTATAAAAATCTTTGAAGAAAAAATAATCAAAAGACAAAAAATATTTATCAGTAAAATGCAATATCTTCATGTTTGACGGGTGTGGAGTGAGTGTTACGAAGACAAGACCCACATCCACCTATACTCTTCGACTTCAACGTAGTCGGAATGAGATTCTGGAGTCCGATTCAGTTCACTATTGCTCAGAGGTTATACCAATACCTGTTTCAATTTTTTATCACCCTTGGATGATATATGTCCGAAAGATACGCGGGAAGCACAATTCTAAAAAATTAATATCAAATAACAAATATATCATCTCGTGATCGTCTACATATGTATAGATACAAAGAAGAATGCCAACTAAATTTGATCTATTCTTTGATATTAAACAACAGTACTACATATATGTACAGGAAAACAATACAGTAGTATATAATCAAGCTCACTGCGCTAGTAGATGCGTGCAGAAAAACCGAACAACAATATCATTTATTACAAACATAGGCAATTGCAAGACAAATATGATAAAATACATATTGAAAAGAAGAAGAGTAAAATAATAAGGTGGCATAAGTGTCGCTGCGTAGTGGTATCACATTCTTTTTTCTTTTCCATATTATTAGGTGGGTGAGATTTGTTTTATCATGAAAAAATATACTGTCGATCATCAAATGATTTAAGATACTTTTGATCACCATGTTTTTCAGCATTCATTTCCAATTATTTATTCTTTAAATATCATATACAAAAAAATACATCTATATACATATAAAAGAAAAAAAGTATTTTTAATTTGTGATTTAATTTATTTATACTGCAAAGCTAAACAAACTTTTTTGGACGCCTTTTCGGTTGAGGTTTGCCCAATGGCTGAATATGTGTCTTATCGCTCACTTGATATAAATTAAATTAAATTGCCATACCAATAGAATGCTTACAACAATAAATTTTGAGGCCAACAGGACATGTATATGATTACAAAGGTACAACTATCCAACATGACTTTTGTCACACTAAAAAGTCATTAAATGTACGCTATCGTCGAGTAACATAAATATCTAAGCAAGTAGACAGTTCCATTTGAGAATTTGATGATGGTACAACATAATAGCTTTCGTACCAGTGATAGATGCTGTTGCGATCGATATTGATAGCCCTTTTGTATCCAGCTAACTCATTGTCAGGTGTGATGGATTTAGATATAGAAACCGGATTGCTTTCAGGATATTTTGACCAGTCACTGAGCATTGCTTCAATCTTCGGAAGAAACGACGACAAGTGTAATTTATTTCGAAGTGTATATCGTTGCTTTATTTGAGCATTCATAGACTCGCAGTCGTTGTTCGTAGATGGTATATTTATTGCACAGCCTTCATACCTAAGATTAAAATCGAATATTGATCTAAGATAGCTACATATTTGAACTTTGAATTATTTTACCAGTTCGGCATTTGTTCGATCCATTGTTCATGAAAATAATCGTAAAATTGTTTTAATGAATCTTCAGAACGCCATTTAGACATTAGAAGATTAATTCCATAATTTTCATCGTTGAAACTCAATGTACAGCATGAATATCTTTATCAATGACACTCCATTGTTGTTTGTTGACCAGATTTCGATTCTCACGACACTTTTTTATCATGTGAAACCAGCACATAAGCCGTTTTGCTTGTGGAAATATTTTGTTTTTAGCCGCAGTAAAGCCTAAAAGATAGAAACTTTGTATCGAAAGACTTCTTTCTTAGGATCAGCAGACCTAGTGCTTCATCGACCGGTAGATATTGTAACGAATATGGTTTGCGCAATTCTTGAATACTTAATGATTGAAGTGATGTGAATAAATGTTCATAGCAAGATGAGCTTTCATCATTCAAAACAAGTGCAACACCAAATGGATGAAATTGTCTTTTTTCATCCGATGAACCGAAAACCAGGAGTCGCAACTCATTCCATGTTATCTTGTACGTGGCATCAGCTTGCAATAATTGAGTTAAGGTAATTTGTTGAATTGATGTTTTTGTAGTAAAAAGAATAAATAAATCATAGATGTCTTCAATATAATAGAATGGTACATAAGTTGAATGTGAAGGAATATCATCTTGATGATCATTGCACCATTTGAGAAAATCGTAAATTGAAAACATTTCAGGACAGCCTTTTCGACGTTGAATTTGAACCAATGACGTTAATTTAGTTGATGCTATAGGTGTTGTTGGATAGTCTATCAAAATCGACGAGCGAATTTGAGCTGTTCTTAAACCGACACTGATATATTTTGAAACCAATTGTCTTACTGGAGATGCTAACCGTCGTGTTTGATTGCGATAATCATGATCATCAGTACTTTTGAACATAACTGTAATTGAGTTTACATCAGCGTCTGGTACAGTTGACTTGAGTTCATATCGACACAATGGATATTTACGATAGTGACTGCATTTAAATGAGTATTTTGTTTGATCTTTAAGATTACTTGTTCGATGTTGACAAACTTCCTTAGATTTAGCAATAGCTTTCACATCATCAAGTGAATTAACTACACTTAATAGAATTCAGTCTGACTTCGAAGTTGATATTTTCACAAATGAAAATGTATATGAACTTTTTTTTACAAATGTAAGGATCCTATTTAGTAACTCCTTTGATCTTACAACGACTTTGACCAAAAATTAATTAGCTTATCCATACACACTAGTGGCTTTGATCATACATTAATTGGTTTGAAGTTTATAAATACAGTGCTGAATATGAAGAAAGCGTCGTATTAATTGTTTACAAACATTGGATCAGAAATCATGAAAAATCACAACTCGAACAAAATGGTGATCAAAAGTATACTTTCCATTATTAGTTGCTCTTTATATTGACGAGTTCTGAAATACGCGATTTGTCATTATATGTTTACCTTCCCGTTCTTTTTCTAGCTGTGACATCATTGATAGACGGCTCCTTCAATGGTATCTAGATTCAACATAAGCATCCTCCATTTGTATTGTTATCTTTCAAGAACTTAACAACAAATATTATCAACAGAAATTAGTTTGAATTTGATCTACTTTAAATAATTTTTTCAAAATCTGTTTATATTATTTGAGGCTATCTTGTGGGTGTCGTCATATGAACAACTTTTATGAGAGCTATTTTCATCATTCTTTTATTAAAATGCAATGCGATTTGAGATATCCTATGAAGATCAATTTTAGTTAATTCTGAGCGTGGCTGTGGGTATGGGTGTCGGTGTGAGTGTGAGTGTGGGTGTGTGGGTGTGGGTATGGGTGTGAGCGTGGATGTACAATCATTAAAGAGGAACACCCACACTCACACCCTTTGAGTAAAAAAGCTAATTTTAATATTGATGATTAAGTGATCACTAACATGTAATTTTAGTGTGGTCATTATTTTAAGCCTAATATGAAACTAATGTGAATGGTGTACCCTACTGCCAATCTTCAGTTGGATTGACAATATTCGTTATCTCGAATATTACATGCAGAGAAGAACCGCTAACGCTCAGGCGAGCAGCTTGTAAATCTGAGTTCTACACTGCTGATATCAGCCCAACCCATAAATAGCTCACGAGGAGTTATAAGTATCCCTGGGTAGACCTTGCAGAAATATAGGTATCCTCCTCGACAGGCCTTGAAGAGTCATAGGTACCACTGGATGCCCCCTAAAGACATCTGAGTACTCTCCCTTGTTAGCCCTTGATAAGTCATAAGTACACTCTTTAGACAAGCTCTAATGAGTCCTAAGCATTGCCTGGATAGCTCTTGAAGAGTCATAAGTACTCGTCCTGGACAGGTGTTAATAAGTACTAAATACCTCCGTGGATACTTCTTGAAGACCTGTAAGTACCCTTCCTGGATAGCCCTTAACTAGTTCTAAGTGTCTTCCTGGATAGACCTTCATGAGTCTTAGGTACCCTCTGAGTATCCCTTCAAGACCTCTAAGTATCTTCCTCGGATAGTCGTGAAAAGTGAGAAATAGGAACCCATAATTTGCTACAGTGAGAAAGAACAGACCGCGAATCGCATTCGGTCTTCGCATTCAGTTGCTGGATCGGAGCTCTTTGACTAACTTGAAAATGGCTGAATCCGTGCTTCGCCACCGGAGCGGCAATGCCGAGACACGGTCCGTACCCTGCCGTCCTGATAAATCACTGAAACCGGCCGTTTCCTGCCATACACCATAGACATGGAAATGTTTCATTTGTATGATGAGAATTCTGAAAAAACGACGACTTCAATTGTTTTTTTATTAAATTTTATATTGTATGTTCGGAATGTATATTATTTAGTAAAAAACTCAATTCAGATAAATCTGTTATTTCTTTTAAACTACTTTCATTTATATACTTCAATTGTTGACAAATATAAAGAAGAAAGTACTATCATTAGCACAGGAAATACAGCACAATATAATTATCATTGGAATATGTAAAAATCGAATTTTTTAATTTAACATACAGGAATTCGGTTTTTTCATTAATGCTAAAATAACTGAATAATGTGCTAATTTAACAATGACTACTCGAACGAATTATCACAAGCTTATGTATGATTTTTCTTTTTCTGTTGAATATGTCAGAGAAAAAAAAGCGTTATTTCTTATTAGACTAAAGCGCATTATGATGAAATTCAATTGAAAAATAATATCAAACGAAGATAATGGTTGTAGACCTAGATATAACATATTATAATATTTTCTTTCTGGTTTAGTATCTGCTGTAGAATTACTTGTTGTTAATAATAAAACATAAACTTATTGAATTAAATAAAAAAACTTCATAGAGAAATAATTTCTTTTGTTTATTTAAAAGAAATCGATTGAAATAATTGAACATGTGTATCATATGTAAAGCTTTTTTCAATTATATAGAAAAAATTCAATTAACTTACAAGGATATTATTTAAACCTGATGATCTTGAAAAACAATTACTTAATATACATACAAACAGAAATTGTTGAACTCAAGAACTGGCAGAGTCATACAAATAAAAGACAAAAGAAAGAAGAAAATCCGGCTATTATAAAAATGACAACGATATTATTCCTCGAAATCAATAACTCAAAAATAATTCATTTTCTTTTCTTTTTCTTGTTCTTGTTTTTGAAAAGAAAAGAACTTATATTTACTTGTTTTTTTCTTTACTCATCATTTAGAATTATACCATGTTTATTTTGTTTTTTTTAGGACAAAAACTCAGACCATATGCATTAATTNAAGTAGTGCAAAACTAGCAGTGTTACAAAGAATAAGATACTTTAAAAAACCGTTCCGGAGGGTATTTGGTATTTTGGCTACAGCTCTTGAACAAGACGTCGTATAAATTTTGTCCAAGAGCAAAAAAGTCTTAGAAGTGACTATTACACAAGCCCTGAAAGTTTCAAACGATTTGGTGAATGTTGTGTATTTCGTGTCACAAGTACCATGGAAATAGCCTATTATATATGTAGCAAAAAGAGATGATATTCGTATGAAGTAATTAACAGTTTTATGTTACTATTTTTTCTTTTCTCAAAATGAAAATACTTAAGAAGAAAAACAAATATATCCAACCATTGTATTGATCTTGTTTATTTGCTAGTTTCGATTTGATGTCATCTGCTAAAGTTTTGATACGTTGTCGAAATAAATGAAATAAGAGTGTTTGAGGAATACAAGAATAATGATCATTTAATCTTAATATATCTTGCATCATAGGAACAGTTTTATTTTCATTATTAACAGTAAATGATGCATAATCAATTAATTGAAATAATTTAATATAATCATTATCTTTACTTGATAATTTAGTTAATGATTCTAATCCATAATCATCAACAATATATTTTAAAATATATGAGACAAAACTTGAAAATGATTTTCTTATATGTGATTGTAAAGAATCCACAAGACCTGTAAAATGTTTTCCACATAATGTATCTTTAGCAAGATCATAAATTGAATTACAAGTTTTTCGTATAGATTCTTCTTTCATTGAAATACTTTCATGATAACTTGTTATAATATGTTTTTGTAATTCATTGACTTGTTCAAAAATATTTTTTAAACATTGAACACGTCGATTAGTATCTGTTTCAGTTTGATAAAATTCATAAGCAATTCGATTATTAAATATATTTTCAGATAATTTATGAGCATTAATTTGTAAACGAGAACAAAAATCCCATAGACAATCATCAAAAAGCATTTTTACGTCATAAAGTGGATTATCTAATGATTCTTTTTTATGTATGATTCCAATTTTTGAAGTAAAAATTTGTAACATTTTTTTAAGATGAAATGCACTACCTGGTGTTGATGTATCAAGAAACCAATATTCCCATTCATGTAAAAATATCGAAGGAAAACATGATTTATAATTAAGTTCTTGTCCAGATGAATGAATTAAAATCAAGAAAAATTTTGAAAAATTTTCATTTGGTTTAATACAAGAAAGATCGAATTTATCAATTAATTGTCGAACAAATGGTATATGTATACGTTGTTGACTAAGACGACCATCAATAATAATGATAAGAATCGATTTTTGATTGTTTTCTTCAAAATTTTGAAATTGTTCGTTTAATTCGTTGGAATTTTCAATAATTGCCTACAACAAAAGAAGTTTATAGTTTTATAAGAGAAGAACACAGGAAATTTATGTTCAATATACAAGATGTATTTAGAAATCTTATGTTTTCTGTTTCGTTTAGATGACTTCAGTCGTCTGAGTGACACTTCACAGTTACTATTAAGTAAATCTTAGTAAGAGTATTATTATGCAATGTTAAGAAAATTTCGTTGTAAGAATCGATCTATTATTGATTCTGTCTTTGTACTATGTCTTATATCGTTTCTGAGGAGGGGATGGGGAAGAAGGGATACTTATAAATATGTTCTTTCTCTAATCTGATTTTTATTCAAAGATGTTGTTTTGATACGATTGTTATTGTTTGAAAGACTTACTAAATTAATAATATCGACTTTTTGACTAATATTCATCATTACATCATCATCATCTTGGTCATTTTTACGAAATAAATCATTTGTTGAATGTTTATTTAAGCTAGCAACAAACGATGATGTTCGAGTAAATATCATTAATTTTCTTATCATATTAATATTATTATTGATTTTTTGCTCGATATTATCATTCATCATCAATAATTCATTATCATCAATAATTGACGTTGAAGTTGAAATAAATTGATGAAGAAAACTTTCAATATTAAAATGTTCTTGTTGATAAAAATAATTTTGACATAATAATCGAGTAGTACTTTCTTCAAATGTTGGTAATTTATAAATCATTGATTCAGGTGAAGCTAATTGTAATAATTTTGATATAATAGAAAAAAGAAAACATTGTTTTTTATTTTTTATATCTTGTTCAATGAATGATTTTGATTGAATTGTTAATTGATTATAATTTTCATGAATATTTGATAAATATAATTCACCTTGAACATTTCTTTTAATAAATGATAAAAGACATGAATATAATGTTTCATCTTTATATCCATAGAAATATTCTTTTCCAAAATGATCAATAAATGATCGAACTTTTGTTTCAACAGTTCTCATAAGATTTTGATCTTCTATTGGAATATCTTTTAATTGAATTGAATAAAAATTTGATATACTAAAAGAATATTTTTGAAAACGACTTAAAAATGGTGCTGGAATATCTTTCAATTCATTTCGTTTTATATGAACAATACATTGAAAATCTTCATGTACAACAACATCAATTGTTTTTGGACCAATGGCTACTTTAGAAAAAATTTTTCGACTATCTTCTGTCGCCATAATTGAAAAATTTTGATTAAAAACATCATAAAGTGAACCATGAATTCGACCTGTATTTATCATTAAGATAGTTTTACCTGTTTCCATACATAATTTAATATTTGATAACATTTCAACATTTCGTAATTCACTATCGATATCATCGGGAAAATCAGGCATACGAAAAACTGTTGTTTGATTTGGATCAGAATTAAGAATTCCCAATTGAAAGAGAAGACGAACAGCACTTTCATCTTCTGATTCATCAATAATTAATTTATATCTACCATAAAGACGACGACGTGTCGGATCTAATTTCATTGAATTACGTAAAATTGTTACTATATTACGTTGAATTTGTTGTTTCTCCTCAATTAATGATCGAAATTCAGGACATTGTTCTCCAACAGCATTAGCAAATATCTCGACTAATTTATCAAATTCTTCCATTCGAATTCCATTAAAATTATCTTCTAAAGCTCGTAATAAACTTCGTGTTGTTATTTCTCCAATATTTGTTTGTTCAACTTCATTCAAATTCATAAGTTCAAATCTTAATTCTCTTAACATATAAATAAAATCACGATCATGAAATATATGAGGAATATCTGGTGAACAAAGAATTCGTCGATAACCTTGACATAAACCATAAATAATTTTATCGAGACGATTATCTTCATTTTCTTCTCGTTGTTGTAATTGTAAGCCCAAACAACCATAAGCTAAAATTTTTTGATCTTCTTTAGATGGTAATGAACGATAAATACAAATCATTCGATTAGCATTAGCTGCATCAAATGCTTTATTAGCAACGGCTACAAATGCTACTTTGCAATCATCCAAGTAAGGATGTAAAACTTTGAGAATCATTTTCTTTTCATCGGGTAATGAAGCTTCATCTAAGAAAACGACCTAAAATAAAAATTTAAATAGAATAAAATAAATTATTGTTTGTTTTTTGAGCCTACACATCGTGTATTCATTCTATTTTGTTCATATTGTTGTTCACGTTTGATAGCACGTTCAAAAATGAAAGCAATATCTTGTGAACGAGTATATTTTGATCCAAGACAAAAGAATGGATCAATAGCAGGAAGACGTTTACAAAATGGTTTGGCTGATAATTGTGCACCTTGAAGATTTTGAAGAACAATTTGAAAAGATAATGTTTTAGATTGACCTTTTATAAACAAAAACAAAAAAGCAGATATGTACAGGTTTATTTAGATTCGATTAAAATAAATTACTTACCAGGAACACCAATAATACATAAAGCTGTTCGTGTAGCAATACTGACTACAATAGCAAAGATATGTTCTCGAACCTAAAAGAGAATTAATTATTAAATTAAAAAAAATAACAACTTTGATATATACATACAGCTTGATTAATTGCTACGCCTCGTGGAATAGCAAAATTGTTAGTATTTACAAATCGTTGGAGTTCATCTTGAACGATTTGATCAAAATCTGGTATAGCTTCACAGAGAAGTTTTGCTAATTTTTCTCGTGAAGGTGTTTTTCTATCGTTACGTTGTAAGTTATCTTCTTCTGTTGGAAGACGAAAGTAATAGGTCAACGCGATTGATAAAGCAATGCATCGAATAGGATTAGGAGTAAACGTTTTTTGATCAAATTTCAGTTCATCATCATATCGCAAAGTCCAAAAGAAATCAATTAAACTAAAACATCGTTGAATTTCTCGTTGTGAAACAGAATTAACTCCTAAGGAAAAAAAAATAAGCAAAAAAAGGATAAACCTTATGAACTTTTTAAGCAATTACCAAGACTTTTTTCACAAAATTCTTGTGCTTTTAAAATAGAATCAGCCAATGTATCTTGAACATAATCTTCTAATGGCATTGTTTTACCGCTCTTTGCTGATGAAGTAACTTGAAACATGGCTATTTTTCGAACAATATAATCAGCTAATGTTCGAGATTCTAAAGCTCCATAAGAAACTTTTAAATCTTTTAATGATTGAGGTAAATCATGAACAATATAATTACTACGATGAACTTGTTCTATATTTTCTTCTATTTTTACAAACGGATTAATAGCAGCAGTAAAGAAAATATTTTTCGGTATACTTATACCATACAATGTTCCATCCATAAACATTTCTTTAAATAAGCCAAGACATGAAGCTGTATTGACTTCATCAAAGAAAACGACAATTTCCATTTTGGGTAATTCTCGAGCTAATTGAGAAATTGGAAACATAAATTCAACTAATTGTTCTTCATTAACACCAGGATGTAAAAGAAGACGATAGAATAAGGGCTTAATTTGACTACGAAATAAATATTCTTTAAATATTTCAATGGATATTTCAGCAGTCGGTGAACAAACTACTTGAAGTAAATCGTGTAATCGAGAACTACCTTCAATCAATGGATAATTGGCTAATTCATTAGTAACATAATCATGTAAACTTTGAATTAAAGTTGCTGTTGAAGCTGTACCATGTTCAGTTGAAACGTTAAGAATAGTTTTCCAAATATGATATAAAATAGTTTTCTTTAATTGACCATTATTTAAATATTGCTTAATTTCTTTACATAGAACATGATCAATCAGTCCATTATCTTGTGCTTGTTGTGCTGCAGCCGGTATAGCTTGGATTGGTATTGGTCGTTGATTAAGAAGTTCAAGCTCATCTTCATCATTATTATCTAAAACTAAAATTTTTGGTCGAATTTGTTCAAGAATTGTATTCAAAATATTTGCTTGTTTTTCTATTATTGTTTCAATAATATTTAGAAGAAATTTATTTGAATTTTCCATAATTTTTGGAGTAATATGTCTTTGTAGAGGATCACTTGTAATTTTAGAATTTAATAGTAATGAATAGAATTTCAAAAGAAATGTTTTTCCTACACCCGTATCACCTTCAATAATTAATGCTAATTTCGTTAATTTTCTTTCATGTACATGAAAAAGTTTATATGCAAAATTTTCTGTTAAAATAAATTTTGTATCATGAACAACTTTCATAAATGTTTCATATTTAATATCAATTAACCATGCTAAACATTCAGCATAATAATCTTTATTTTTATATTCGACGGATGTTAATGGATCTTTATTATCAAAAAGACTTTTTAAATCTGTTGGAACATGATTCCAATCACCATGTAATAAATGTAAAGAAAATCCAGGATCATAGACAAGATAAACACGAGGATAATTACTATCTCGAAAATTAATTTGTGTTAAAGATTTTGCTTCATTAATCATATGTGTTAAAGCAATACTACCTAATCGTTGAATTTTTTGATTCCAACAATAGTAATGTCCTTCAAAGAAACGTACACGACGATATAAAAATTTTGTAAATGAAAGTTCATAGATTTTATTTCTTGGTAAATCTGGAACATATTTCTCAATACAATTATAGATATATTTACGACATTCATCACTATTGGTTATTTTTTCGAAATTAACGGCTACATCACCATCTGCCATACGATCGATAGATTTATCTTCGAGTGCTTTTAAAAATCGACCTACAACTTCTTCTTCTGTTTCAATAGATAATTCATAATTTTTATCGGTAACTTCTTCTAATGTTGATGGAGAAATGATGGAAAGAATCGGTAGAATTTGATCATAATTTTCTCTAACACTTACACCACATACATCAGAATACGGAACTTCAATAATAAATTTCCATGATTGAGTATGTGGTAAAGAAAATACTAGACCACTATTTCGATCATTCAGACAACCACATATAAAAAGAGAAAATAATGTTCGATTTAAAGATTCGAATGGTGAATGAATAGATATATTGAAAAAAATCGATGGATTATTATTCGTCATATTCGAATCAAATAAGAGAAATGAACTAACTAATAATGAAAGATTTAATTTATCATTAATACTAAAACATGATGTACGATCAGTTTTCAATTGTCTATTGATATGATGAGTTTTACCTATAATACAATATGATAAGAAAATTCGTTTCTTTATTTAAACAACGAAAAAAATCATATTCTTACCAATGCCCGCTTGACCAGAGATAATTTGAATTTGTGGTGGTACAATGTGATATTCATTGAATAGATTCATTAAATGTATATAACTTTCATTTGGATCTTTATATCTATTTGGTATTTGAAATTCTCGTAGACCTTTTCGACCAGTTGTTAATTCACGTGAAAAATAAAATACTCGACCATGCATATCTTGTTGACGAGTTAATAAATCTTGTTCATTTAAAAGTAATTCGCGTAGTCGATGATGCATTTTATCAATATCCATAATAACAAATGTAAGTGAAGGAAATGTACGTATACGAGAAAAAAATAAATAAATATCTTCTTCTGATGTATTTGAACACCAAAGAATTTGATAAGAAGATGGTAATTGATTTTGAAAAATATTCAATAAAATACAACACATATTCAAATCAAAGTCATGTGATAAAGACATTTGATTTAGATTCGATATAGGACGATTTATACTAATTAGATATTGTTCATTTTTATGATGTTTTTGTTCATTTTGAAATATGTTACCATAATGTTCAAATAAATCTTGAAGAAATTTTGTTAAGATTTTTAAACATAAATCAGTATTTGACCCAGCTTCGATACAATACTTCTGATATAGTTCAATAAGATGATCTGTTATAAAATTTTCTTGTGAAATTCTTAATGAACGAAGATAATGTTCAAGACAATGAATAGTTAATTTTTGTTCTTCATTATTTTGATTATCTAAATCATTAAATGCAAATAATTGTTTTAGAAAACGACTTCGAACAGAATTCTGTGCATTTGATTTTCGAAGTAGAATAATTAAAATCATTATTTCACGATTAGAAAATAATGTCAATAATGAATATTCTTCACGATATTTCTTTAAATTTTGTATCCATATATCATACGTAGTTTTTAATGTATTATATATTAATTCTAAACTTTTAATACGATTATGAATAGCATTATCTAATTGAGCATTTTGATAAATTCGTATATCAGTTAACATAGAACCAGCTTGTACTAAAAAGAAATTTTCAAAAAAAACAAAATGTATATATTTCATTATTAATTGAATAATATTTTCTTACTTTGTTGAAGATGTATTTCATAATGTTCATCTCGTAATTGATAATCAGGATGACCACCGATTTCTAATTTAGTAAAAATATTATAGATATTTTCAATTATTTGCAACAATTTCAATTGACCATTAATTAAAGCTTTTTTATAAATTAAATTTTGTTGAACATCAACATTACAAAATGTTAATTGACGTTTATGATCATCAATATCGGATATTGTTAATTGAAATTGAATTTGTTTTGCTCGAACTATATTATCTTCTTGACCTTGTTCGTTCTGATTATTTTCATCTCTTATTTGTTGCATTTCAACTTGGATACGATCAATTGAATAACCAATTTCATAATAGGATTTTTTTCTTGTTAAACGTTGTAAATGAATATCAACAGTTCCACTTTTATATAAATGTTCCATAGTAATCAAAGCATTATCTAATACTGTTGTTTCTTCTGCTGATAACCACAATGTTACAAGTTGTATATTATCATTAACCACTAGAAAATACAATGATTTTACTGATATTTTCTAAGTTCGTCAATGAAAGTAGTTCGCTTTTTGATTTATCGTAGTTACTATCGCCGCTGTCATGACATAAATACTTCAGATACTTAGAATCAGTTTTTCAAATTTTTCTAATTTATTATCTGTCATAAATACAGTAGACAACGATTTTTGTTTTCGAATAATCTGGAAACAAAAGCAGCCAGCAACCTATGGGTTTTCACTATTCAAGAGAGAAGAAAGATACGATGCCAACACAGTAGATCGAAATTTTATTGGTCGGAAATTACATAGTATACTCTCGAGAGAAAATATTCTTTGCTTTCGATTTATACAAGGTATATATTTCTCAGATAGCTTTATTTGAGAGTTAAACTAGTTTTCTTGAAATTCTGATCGTAGATATTTGATTATGATTATGCTGAACGGCAGCTGGACAGGAGTAATAATTCAGCATGCTGAATTCAATGGCAATATTTAATTTTACTTCTATATGATTCGACGATGCTCATTCAACATTTTTTTGTTGTAGTGTTCACGCGTTTGTTTCATACTTAGATTGGTTGGAAAATTTCAGAAATAGTTAGATAAAAGTTTTCGATCAGTTCGAAACTAAAAACAGATATTATCATTCGAGTCAAAATGTTGAATTACATCCCTATCTAGCTATTCTTTTTTGGTACGGTGCTTGCAAATCAAATGGCTAAGACCGGCGATGTCAGAATAAGTCTTATATAATTTTCGAATAGAAGTGAGTTAGAGATATGTCAGCCTTATGTAAATCGATAGAGAATAATATTTTCTATCGAGTAGTAACCATTATAAGTTTGAATCTAAAATAAAATAACTTTCAGAATACTGCTTTGAAAAATCTTCCTTAGGAAATATGGTTGTTCGTTCAATTTCTGATCCATGACATTTCGACATATTTTTATGACCTTGAATTTTCATTCTTGAATGGTGAAAATTGCAAGTGATCAATTGCTCTTACTCTGAAGTTATTCGAAAAATTATTATGCCTAGTACTTGTTTAGATTTCTAATTATGATTGAAATTTACCTTTGATATGATTCAATGAACTTTCTTCTAAATTGGTTATATCAGCAAGACGAAGAATAAAATCATCAAAATTGTTTGCTTTAAGCATAAATGGTTCAATTAATGCATAAGTTATAATCCATGAATTTAGAATCATATTATTTAATTCTTGTAATTGAAATTGTGTCGTTAAATTATCTCGTAGTTCTTGAAAACGACGTCGACCATGTTGAGAATAAAGATCAGATTTTTTCATCATTTGAATAACATTCGAACATTTAACGGCTGTTTTAATTAATTGTAAATGTTGATGAGTTAATGTTTGAAAACATTCTTGTAAAATTTTATAATCTTGACCTATATCTTTTAACGAACAGTTTTCATTACCACTCAAATGTTTTAAACGACCTATTTTTGCTTCTTCATTATCTAATGGTAAAAGATCGAATTTTTCAATACATTCCATAATAACATTTAGATGACTATAATATTGATAAATTTGTAACCATTCACAAACTTGTTCAATTTCGTTTTCATTTGGTTGAATTCTTGGAACTTGTTCAAAAGCATCTGGCATATTTACTCTATTGTTATTCTGTTGATTTGAACGATTTATATATAACTTTTTAACTTCTTCTCGAATATTAATATTTTTATCTTTGAAAATAGCTTGTAATTCTGTCATTGATCGTAGACTTATATCACCAATTAAAAGTTTATTTATAAAATCAAAAACTTGGTTAAGTAATTTACTAAAATCATTTTCAGTAATGCTTGGAGAAGTTTCTTGATAATATTTATCAAAATGCATTTTGAATATACCATGAAATAAATGCGAAGTTGATATACCCATACATTTAATTCGATACCAAATAATTCGAGGTGTCGAATCATTTTTATTATCAATAGTAATTAATAATTGACCATTACGTTGACTTTCAAATTGACCATGAAGAACATGTTTATGAATAGAAACATTTTGTTGTTGATATAATGTTTTATACTGATTATTTGCACCGTGACTTCGATATTCAACAGTAACATCACATGGATATTTTTCACTGGCTAATGACCATTGAATTTGTTGGCGATCGATTATAGAGATACTCTGTTCACGAGTATTTCTACCTTCTACTGTAAATGTATGGTTTGCTTGAAAACGTTTTAATTCTGTAAGAAATTTTGTTGTATTATCTTGAGTAAATAATGTGCCTGGATTAATAATTTGAAATGGAATTAAACAATTGAATAGTTGACAAAGACGTCGAAGATCTTTAAATGGTTGTAAAAGTTTCAAAGTACTATCAATAATTGTTCTCATTTCAATTAATGTTATTTTAGGATCATCACGAGTTCTTAATAAATCAATTAATAATTGACTTGAACGATTAACATTATGAGTTTTTAACCAATCTATAATATGTTGAAATATATCGACAAATCGATCGAACCAGTTAAACCATTCATTTATTTGTTTAATAAATCGATGAAAAAACTCTTCGTTGGATCTAATGTTATTGAAATCAATATCATTAGGTTTGGGTAAAGCAACAATATCATCGATATTTTCACTTGTCAATAGAAATCTATATTGTTGACGATCAATTGTACCAACTATGTTATTTATATCGATCAATGGAACAAAACAAAAAATGATCGAATCATTCAACAGTTCACGATATAATGAGCATTTAGCTAAACATAAAAATTTACTCTATACAAATCAATATGATTTAAGCGGAGGAAAAAAAACAAGGACAAAGTACATCAAGTTGAATCCTATTCTTTCCCGTTTAAGTCTGATGATACCGTGTCTAACTCGACAGTTTTCTACTTCAAAAAATAACAGTCAATTATCATTCATATTCTTATACAATGAGAAACGAGTAGAGAAGCTTTTTTTAAGGATATTATGTAGATGAATCGAGTGCAGATCGAAAGTTTTGAATTCGATACCCTAGCGATAGTACAATATTATAAAATATTTTCCAACATCTTTATATCGATTCGTTAATGATACAATTGCCTCATTTTTGTATATATAGAATCATGGAAACAAAAGTATGTGATTCCATACGACAGAATATGTTATTGATAGAGAACTTCAAAGAATTTTACAAGTATGAGACAAAAAATAATTAAATCCGTCATTAGTTACTATAATTAGGACAGCAGAAAATATGGATAATGGAAAAACAAAGAACTATAATTAAGACAATCAATATGAAAAATTTTTATATTGAAATATACTTACCCTTTAATCGGAGAATTTCATAAATAGTTTCTTTGCCACTCATAAGAAAATTGTCAATTTCATGAACATTCATTATTACAGATGTATTGTCACGCATAGATATGATGAAACTCATTATTATGTTAATATATGGCAACATTAAGATTGATCTGGAATATTTCATAAGTGCTAATTCAAATAATTTAATAACTAAAATAATTGTCAAAATATCTGTTGGATTGTAAATATCATGTTGAACATCTTTCATCCAATCATTAATTTTAATGAGAATATCAATATGATTATTATTTAAAATTTTTGAAAAACTTAGATCAATGATTCTTGTCCAAATATAGATTGTCCATGGATTATTTTCATGATTTTCACATAAATATTTATAGGTTTCTCGACCTAATTTTAACCAAATTGAAATATTAGTAATGAGAAAATCTTTTAGACATTCATCATCAATGATTTTCTCTGCAGTATATTTTTCACATAAGCTTTTTTTAAAATCTTTCAAGTTTTCAAACAGATTTTTGAGTCTTTGTGTATTGGGCATCTGAAGACTTTCAACTTCAAAGAGTACTTTACGAATTAGAAGTAAACAAGAAGGTCTTTCTACTAAACGGTCAGTTGAAAATATTTCAAGGCCATTCTGTAAAAGCTCGTGGTAATCAGTTCGATTGAATTGATAGGAATGTCGAGGATTATTGATATTTTGGATAATATAAACATCAAAGATTTTCTCAAATAAATCGACAAATGATTTAAAAGACTCAATTTTGATTTCTTCTAATGATTTTTTGGTTGATTTTGTATATTTTAGAAATTTCAAAACAGTAACTGATGGAATTCTTTCTTTCAATGTTAGAAATAGATGGTTTTGAATAATGTCATTAATATCAACGGTTTTATATAAATGTATTAACATGTTCCAGAGGTCATCTGTGTCCACATTTGAAGAATAACAAGAAATGTATTGACCAAATAGTTGATCGGCCGATTTTATCCATGCAAAGAATTCAGCGATATCTTTCATTTGATACCATCCGTTTTTAACACCGTGGCTAAATAAAGAATTAAATTGTTCAAAAAATTGTTCCGGGGCGAGATTCAACATTTGATGGAATCCAAAAAATGTTTTAAATGGCCATTTTTTCATCTCGTTTGGAGGGTGCATTCGTTGCATAAGATAAAAAAACACTGTTGTATCAAGTGGAAACTCTATAAATGCTTGTTGATATAATTTATATATTCGAATGAATTTCTCTAAAGAGAATTCTTTTATTTTTATTTTGGATAATATGTCGATCCATTCGAGATGATAACGTCTATCATTAGAAAATTTTGAAGCTTGCATTGATAATTTACATAGAACAAAAAATTTCGTTAATGTGTTTTCGTCCTCAATAGTAGCAATCGATGATAGATGTTGAGGAATATCCATTTTCAATAGTAATTCCTGGTCTTTTACAAGAAGATTCGGCTCCTTACCTTGCGTTTGTTGGAATATAGAAACCAATAAATAAAATAGCTGTTTTTGAAGTTCTTGTAATGTTTTGTTATCTTTTTTCAGCATAGTAGTATATTCTTGAATTCGACGGTAAATATATAGATAGGCATCTATTCGTTCTGGTGTGCGAGTAGGATTTTTCTTCGATTGCAAGTCAGTGATTGTACATTTTCTTATATGATCCACATCATCAGAAAATGTTTTGTTTTCTCTTTGATCATCACATACACAATGAATCTTCAAGCTTTTTCATATTATCAGTCAATCTAATCTATCTTCTATCAAATGAGATACTACACGATAAGATTTATCCAACGAAACTTTCCAAAAAATCTATCAGCAAAGATTTTGATTGCCGAGAGTCAATTTCGTTTGATTTTATTCTTTTGCAGATTTACATATTCAGTGGATCTTAATCTTAACATTTCTAAATATGATGAATTATATACAAAACACAGAATATTATAATATAAAAGNATTATGCATAATTAATAGCATCATAAAATAATGCTATTCAATATCTATAGCATTAATTGTAGCTATTAACTTCCTCACAGATACATCTATATTCTTCACTCTTTAAAGTAAATGTTCAATAAAAAAGTAGAAGATAATTACTGAGAACATGATATAAAATATAATGACATGATGAATATATGAGTTATTATGTTTATATTCTAAATTGCAGACAATTTTTCGTTCTCTTCATCTATTTTCGATGATGAATTATACTTCGAAAAACAATTTGATAAATGGTAGAAGAAAATAGTCGAACTAAATAGCTTCCTGAAACTTACGTTTTCGAGATTTATCTGAAAATCTTCATATTTATTCGAACGTTTAACAGCTAGTCCGAAAGAGTATTAATTATTCTGAACAGTTGTTTTGCCTAATTTCAATTGCAATGTGTTAAATGCTATTAAAAGATATACATCTTGGTTCAGATAAACCAGATAGATCCTAAAAAGTCTCAATAACTTCTTCTATTACTTTAATTAGTTTGTGTTACTTGAGTTTATTACACGGGGTGATCAAAAAGTGGAGTGTGTGGGGATGTCAAAAGACTATGAACGAACAATCACATTCACACCATAGCAGTAAGTAGTGTATTTGAGAGAATATAAAACAAAACTTCAGAAACCATTTCTCTTTATTCTAGATTATTACCACCGATTATTATTCATTTTCGATGAAGAAAATATGAATTTATCTTAGATTATCAAAACATTTTCAATGCTTGCATGAAGACAATGTTTTGTTCTTCAACAAAGCATCATCAAAAAGGCAAGAATCTTCTTTTTTTTTTGAATATTTTATTAAGCACTTGAAATATCAACAATAAAACAAAAGTATGCAATGAACACGGTAAGTAGGGTTTAGTCATTTTGTTTTTGTATAGCGATCAAACACTTTGTTTGAATAGAAAAAAAATTGACAATCTATGAATATTATTGAAAGTTGGAATAGTCATTTAGTCTGTATGGAGCTATGCTTAAATCATGATCTGGCAGAGAAGATAATGGAGATGTTGCTGAACAAAAAACAACAACTCAAAACAGAGAGGAAAACAAAAAGAAATTAGTGATGATATGTTCAACGGCAAACACCTATACATCCTCGATTGATATTCATTATTTATTGAAAGGTAAAATAAAATAAATACTCAGATTTCATTGTTTTCAGAAAGACAATGATAACAACAATTAAAATGAAATTTATATTATATATTTTTAAAGAAACAGTTTCATAAATTATTGGATTAAATTCTACGCTTATGTATTCATGTCGATGACAAGCAATCAATGGATTTTTCAATATTATCAATAAAACATTCTGAGCAACGTTTTTCAATAGCATTATCAATTTCTTATTGACAACAATCTTGTACATTATTATTAGCATTAAGCCATTCATACGAAATGTATTTTCAAACTACTTAGTTAAGACATATAACGTTGAAAAATTTCAAGTATCATATATAAATGATGATGTTGATGAAGGAGATTTGTTCAATATTTGAATCTCTATTTTTGATTCGATCTAAAAAAGATCTCATCGTTCTATATTCGATGCTTAGTACTAAATACGTACAGTAGTGTGTCAAAGTCCTGAACAGAATACTTTGATTTCGATCGAATGCGAAAACGATGAATTTTAATATGGTTTCAGAACTTTTAGAAATATTCTTTATTTAAAATGAATTGTTTTGTATTATAGTATTCGATCTTGATCCTGCTGTTAAGATAAATAGCCCACCTTTATCAACAAATCTATTTTCGAATTATTCCTGTTGATACAAATGATATATATTCAATTAATTTTATATTATATATTATTCCATCTTTTAGATTCCTCACTAGATATTATTATTAGATAGGATGTGGGTGGATTAAGATGATACAAGTAAAATATCAACACTCACACCCACACCTTTCATCTAGCTTGATAACTGACAAACATATCAATGTTTTTCTTCTTCTAGGTGAATCTGGCGTTGGAAAAACCACTTTCATCAACGTACTTGTCAATTATATCGCATTTGAATCTTTTTGAAAAGCCTCATTCGAGTGAACCTCTAGTTGCTATGCCTGTCTCACTTATGATGACTATCGGTGATCATTTTGAAGAAAAAATTATTAAATTCGGTAATGAAGATTCTAATGAAGATCATGATCATCCAGGCCAATCAGTAATTCAGAATTGTAGATCATACGTTCTTCCACTTCTGAATACTCAAATGAAAGTACGAATGATTGACGCATCTGGAATGGAAGATACACGTGGCCTTACTCAAGATGATGTTAACATACAACATATTATTTCATATATCAGTAATCTTTTATATTTAAATGCCATGTGTATTCTTCTTAATATATAATAGTGAAAAATCCTATAGTGACACATTACTACGTTGAACGATAATCAATTGTAAACTTTCATTTGTGAATGTCATGGTTCCTTATGAAGAACAAACAAGTTCATGACAGCTTTTTAAAATCATCTTTAATAATCTTGATTATTTATTTTTTAATGACGTCAAAACTTCTATCAAGGTTTTCGATAATAAAAATGTCATTTAATGATTGTCAAAATTCAACAACACCCTCCTCCAAAACCTCCACCATTACAACAGGCTCCGCCTCCTCCAAAACTTGCACTATTGCAACAAATTCCACCTCCTCCAAAATTTGCATTTCCACAACAGCTCATATTGCCAAGATTGCCCATGTCAGAGGAGCCTATATCAAAGCTGGGAGCATCATCTACTTTTGGTGGCTCGAATCCCTTTGACCGAAATGTTGTTATACCAATTGTCCATTCAGTTACAAACAGCCAGAAATCAGCAATTGTATAAATCATTAAGGCTAATAATTGATTTTCTTTTATGTCAACAAACACCTGAGAACCTCTCTTTATGACAACAGGACGACCATCTTCATGAAAGATTGTGAATTTGTTTGATCTAGATAAAAATAGACTACCTTTTATATCTCTAACATAATAAGATCCATTTGAGAGCGTGTTGACAACGATGTTACGAGGTTCAGAATAGTTTATGGTCGCCAGATTATTACCAGTGGTGCTGGAAAATATATTAAATGCATAGCCACTTTTATTAGCACGTATTAATTCTCTACCATTTGTATCTGAGAGACGAAACTGAACAAGAAGATTCTCAAAAACACGAAATTTGCTTTTAGTGGATATTTTATACAAACGTTCACCAGTTAGTCCATCTTCAAACTATTTTTCAATACCACCACGTAAGAATTGATTGTTCGCTTTATAATTATACATGTCTATTCGATAGTATGATTCTCACATGTAGTTCTTTTTCATGAACATACATAAGATTGTAATGAGGAAGTAACGACACATTACGTCTATGTAATTACTGGAAATTTAATGCCGAAGGGCGAATCTACCTAAGCAATTAAGAGAAAAGTGCTGTTGACTCATATATGTAACGCATATATTTTTTTCATAATTGTTCGTCATGCTTGGAAAGATATCTATCTCCAGGTTGCTACAAATAAAAATATGTATGCATTTACTTTCATTTCATTAAAAAATCTTTTATTAACAAAGTAATATGTGGAGAATAAAACTGACAATATTCAACAATATATAAAACCTATTCAAACAACAAAAAGTAGTTTATTATAATTTTATTTAGTTTTCAATTAACATTGTGCGGTTATTTATTATTCATCATTTGATTATGATATTCAAGCTGTAGATAAAAATTAGAAGATGATCTTATTCTAATGGATACTTATAATTTGTCAGCACGAATGCATGTCGTACAACAAGTTAAACAGTTGTTTAAAAATTGTACAATAAAGAGAAAAAAGTTAAAAATATCCAATATTCTTATTGATTTGATTTAAACAAATTTATTCATTTTCTTGTTTGTGAAGGGTGTGGGTGTAGATAAAATGGATATCCAAACAAACACTCACACCCCACACCCACACCCACACTCTCAAGCTTTTCAAAGATCTCGGGCAAGAACTGTCACATTTTTATACTGCAATTTCATCAGATTCATCTGTATCCAAGATCTAATTAGAAACATAGATACAAGATAATATAACTATTTTGTATGTAAATTGCAAGATCTTTTCACTTTCCTGTACCTTGTATTTTGACCAAGATCTTGCTTACAAAATGTACCACGAAGGTTATCTGTAGGCAGCACTACTTATATGCGAAAATAGGCAAATCTCTTGATATTTATTGAAGAAACATGCCTGTAAATGTTTAACAATGAAAAAACAAACGCCCATCACATGTTATCTCTCTATCTTTTTAATACAATCATTAAAAAAGCTTTTTTTATATTCAATATTTTAACAATAAAAATACTTGCTGTGTATTTTAATGCTTACGACACAAAAATTAGACTTCAATGAACGTTTTATTCTGCGAAAGGTCTGCTCATTTTTGACACACTGTTCCCTCTCGATTACACTTGACCACTATACTTTTTTTAAAGAAGAATATCGAATTTAGTTTGCAAATAAATTACAATAACTACTCACACAAAACCTAACAAAATGAGAAGGCAGAAAAATCATGAGATTCTAAAATCGTGCATTGTGGTTTGAATCTGGTGACCAGATAACACAACATGCGATGATACAAACTGCAAACACTCTACTATATTTATAATTTCGAAGATAGTGCATCTAAAAATACGTTGGCAACGTAACTATTTCAATCTTAAAATATTACAAATAGCATCACATCAATGATCTTATTACTCGATCTAAACTAACTTCTCTTCCTTATACTCACATTCACACCCACACCCTTATGCATCTCGCTGCTTATGTTAGTGCGAAAAATACCATTATAATGAATGCATGATAAAACAACAAAAATGAATTTAATCATAAAATTGAACACTATTAATATTTACTTAAACAAAGCGTTGTTGAAATAAGAAATAAGAAATAATCAAAATACAACAATTACTAAAAAGATGTTAAATGCAAAAATTTGACTTGCATTCAAGAAATTCATGATTTTTTTTCCTTCTAGCGATCTTTTTTGTCAAAATTTCCATAGTAATGAATAGCGAGAACTACATTTAAGAATACGTGAAGATATACATGATAAAAAAAGCCGTATGAAATAAAAAGAAATGATTGATAAGAATCTCTATTTGCAGTGAATTTAACAGAGAAACGATTTTATATATTTTTCCTAAATAAAATTATGATGTTTGCTGCTACTCAATGAATTATAGAAAAATATTCAGTCAGTATGAAACCTCTAATATCTAATTCTTGCAAGGTTAATTGCTATCAAAGTCAAATTAAATCCATAGATGACATTAGAAAAAACTAAGCCAATACTTCAAAATTGAAGGTTTATCAATCGCTTATTTCATGTCCAGAACTGCCATTTTCATAAAGATGCTTGAATAATTAGCAGCTTCATAATTTACGCTTGAATTTATGAAATATTTATGAATTTAATGACTGTTTACTTCCTTCTGAAAGTTTACAAGTTCATGTTCTTCAACAGAGTATATATAACGAGTAAATTTTGCTAAATGATAAAAAGCTTTTGAGACAATATATATCTGATTAAGTAAGAGCTACTGAAAGTAGACAAATCCTATAAAGATTCATTCGTTTGCTATATTTGTCCAGATTTATGATTGTTTCATTGAGTTTTTAAAATCAAGAGCAAAGAACGTGAAAAAAAGCGCAGAGCAAAATTTAAGTTTGAAATTTTGTTCGTAATGAGCTAGTCTAATTTCTATGTTATCTCCATCAATCTAAAAATTTCAAGCCTAAACTTACAATAATTAGTTTAATATCATAATTCAATAGAAGAATATGACGAGTTCAATTTAAACTGGAATAAAATGTGGAAAAGCAAAATATATATTCAAGTCTTTATTGACCATGTGCTCTTCTGACCTCCTTCACCATTTGATAACGTCCGAGAAGATGCTGATGCTGAATCACTTGAGTATGTCCTGAAGGCAGTGACTGAAGGTTGAGATCAACTGCTTTTTGCTGATATTCGATTGCTTCAGTTAGACAATTCAAACAGTAAAGATTGTAAATGATATTATTGTTAGAAATGACAATACAAGGATAAATCGATGGAAGTATTTTAAATTTGACATCAAGCGCACGATGTTGATATGTGAGAGCTTTCTCATGTTCCTCTTAGTTAATGAGTACAGCAGCTATGTTATTGTAATTGCATGCAATATTTTCTTGATTAAGTTGAGATGAAGCGAGATCGATGTCCAGTGCCCGCTGTAAATACTTCAGAGAAAGATCATATGTGTTTTGTTTTTCGTAAATTAGTCCGATACTATTCTATGTCCATGTAAACAAAGGATCATCATCTGATACATGTCCTAGATAACTTCGAAGCGAGCTTTGAAAATAGTTTAATGCTTTGTTTAATTGATTTTTTGTAGCACAAAGAGTGCCAAGTTGATGTAGTACAGCTGCACGCTGTCTTCATTTAGTCTTTTTTTCGTATGCCGCTAGATAGAACTGTTCAGCTCTTTTCATTTCATCCATCTCTAGCATCAAACGACCAAACTGGTACAAAGGAGTCGAATCCCGAATGGTTTCTCTCAAATGTTTGGTTAATACTATCAGCTGTAGATCTTGGTCATTGGTGGGCGTAAGATGAACAACCATATGTTTTCTTTGTTCTTCTCAGCAGAGCCGATGCAAAAGACAGAACTCATAGAGAACAATCATTCCTTTTGGATGACTGTAGTATATGCGTTTTGATCAATAGAGAATCCACACAACCAACGACACCTGCACACCCACATCTTTTAAGAGTTAAGGTTGTTTCAATGCAACCGACAAAATATACACGTTGTTTTTTTGATATCGACTCGAATTTCTATAGTTATTATGGGTTTCAGATCATAAATCTTTTATCGTAAGATAATAAACAGTTGCGTGGATATATTGTTACAAAAAGAAAGTAAGAAAATATATTGTAATATCAAAATGAATTATAAAATGGCCTCACATTTTAGTTTCTACAGTTATTGAAATTTGAGTGTGGGGACGCTTGTGGACCACAATCACCCACATCTACAAACAAAGAATATGCTGTTTGCTTTTGCAGAAGTACGTTGCATTTATGCATTTTGACTACATCATAGTGGTACAATCTGGCTTTTTATTGGTGCATGCATCTATTAAGTATCAACGCATGCCGATATAATTGTGACGTCATACCACATTATTTTTCTATTGCCGACAAGGCCATATATGATACACTCGTGAATATAGCTGATTATAGATAATAGATTATAGAGAGAACCAAGCAAACCAATCAGTAGTCTTCATTAGAAGAATATTCGTAATTGTCGATAGAGTTCTCTTAGTAATGAGTTTGCAATGATTATTTTACAATTTTTTTCCAACTTCAATCATCTGATTCATTGAAATGTGTATTTTCAAAGCCGCAGTGAAAGAAAAAAATGCTGATCTCAGTATAATATTAATCCCATTGACTACGAATAAAAACTATTTAAGATAAATCACAAAAACGATTATTCATTTTTTATGAGATATCGATTTTCTTCGATACTCAATATTCATAATTTCGCATCGCATTTTGCAATCGAATGAAAATTAAATGTTGTCTAAGTTCTTGTAAAATTCTTATATGATAGACATACATTAAGTAAACATAACCTTTTCATGTGAACCGAAACATAAAAAGAAAAGAAAATTGCAGCAATAGATTGTCAATATAATTCAAAACATTTATTTTGTTTCAGATCAATTTATTTTACATTTTTTCTTATCTGGTATTTATTACGATGATAAAACTTAATCGTGCATCTGGTATTCTTGTCCATATTACTAGCCTTCCTGGACCAAATGGTATTGGTGATATTGGTGATGAAGCTTATAAATTTGTCGATTTCCTACATGAATGTTATCAAAAAGTTTGGCAGGTTAAAAAGAATATTAAAACTAGAATTGTTTTCTATTTTATTATATAGATTCTTCCTTTAACTGCCAGTGAAAAACCGTCACCATATTCTGGTACATCAGCATTTGCTGGTAATCCATTATTGATTAGTTTAGAAAAATTAGTTGACGATGGTCTACTTGTTCAGTCGGATATTGAATCAAGTCGACCAAGATTTGGTGATCGAATTGAACATAATAAAGTATTTAAATGGAAATATAGTATATTAAATCTGGCATATAATAATTATAAACAAAATCATTTAGCAAAACTTAAAAATGAAATTGATGCATTCACCAAAAAAGAACATTATTGGCTTGATGATTATACACTTTATATGGCAATTAAAGCTGAACAAAATAATCAATCATGGGCAAAATGACCACAAAAATTAAAACAATATGATAAAAAAGTTTTAGAACAAAAACGACATGAACATGCAGANAAAAATGAAATTGATGCATTCACCAAAAAAGAACATTATTGGCTTGATGATTATACACTTTATATGGCAATTAAAGCTGAACAAAATAATCAATCATGGGCAAAATGACCACAAAAATTAAAACAATATGCTAAAAAAGTTTTAGAACAAAAACGACATGAACATGCAGACGTTATTAACCAACATGTATTTCTCCAGTATATATTTTTTCGTCAATGGAATCAACTAAAACAGTATGCTAATAAACATGAAATTATAATTCTTGGTGGTAAAAAAAATTCTAAGAAAATTATTGGTTTTAAAATATTAAAGAAGAATATATTTATTTGAAGATATGCCTGTGTATGTTGATTATGATAGTGCGGATGTTTGGGCAAATCAATCACTATTTCAACTTGATCCAACAACTTCATTGCCGATAGTAGTATCAGGTAAATTGGTAATATAATGCATAAACATTTGATTTGATTTGTTGCAGGTGTTCCGCCTGGTTCAATAGAGGACGATGGACAATTATGGAATAATCCGTAGTTGTTCTAGATTGAAGATAAAAAAAAATGTGTATGATCTCTAATTTTTTAGAATCTATGACTGAACTGGTAATCTACGTAAAACAAATTTCGATTGGTGGATAAAACGTTTGAAAAAAAGTTTGGAAACAGTCGATGTTCTTCGTATTGATCATTTTCGTGGTTTAGAAGCTTATTGGTAAGACAAACGTTTTTGTTTTGATAAAATTTACAATAGAATCCATGCTATAAAATTGCTAATGACATTATAGTACATAATGTGGTGACATAGAACGTAGCGAGAAATGTGCGAGATCAATGCCAAATACATGTAGTTAGATAACATTTGGATTTGATGAAAACATAAGAAAAAAGAAATTATGTTAGAAATCTATTAAATCTGAGGGTTTATTCATTTATATATTTCATTTTTTATGAAAAATGAGTTTCACAAAAAGATTGATGTTACACTGTAGTAATGCTTAGATAAAAGCACAACAGATTCTACGTGAGAACAATTCAAACCCAAGCATGAACTTTCGAATCTGCCAGAGAAGTTTTGACGGACTTGAAAAATCCAATATGTTTTCTTTTTTATGACCGTTTTGAGTAGATAAAATCAAACTCTATTTCACGTTATTTGACTCATGTGAAAATAGAAAAGCCTAAATATAAAAAAGATTTGGCTTTTAAACATGTACTTTTTGATACACATCTTTAATAAAAAACACCTTTCTTTCATTAAGTAATAAATAAACCACTGATATTATCAAATCCATGTTATGTATTAGTTCAATTTCTTATATAATAAGGTTTACAAAAAATATATTCACGTTGTTCACCATTGCCCTCCATCCCCTCAGTGATGGATTCAGGGTCCACATTCAATCTTATCGTGTCTTATTAGCGAAACTATTGTGAAAGTTTCAAAACACAGTCAATTCACAACTAGGCATGTTCGTTGGTATAAATTACACAACACGCTCCTGCTATATCTATTATTTGTAGAAAGAGAAAAATTTGTTTTAAAGACGACAATTTTTCAAAACTATCGATTTTATAACGTTCATATTTTTAAGACGAAGTAATGCAACGAAATATTCTTCTCATCGATCGATAGCTCATGAACTTTACTGCAAAATGTGGTCATAGACTAATATCGCTTGCCTAAAATGCATTTTCGATTTCATCATGAAATTCGTATATTAACGACGATTTTCGTAGTTGAATGGCTACATTCTAGACAGCTAGTCAGTAGTTTCTGTATTTCAATCTCTGTGTTACTAATCTTGGAATGATTTTGGACAAGATACTAACAGCCGTATGTCTTGGATCATGTGTTCGACAGCATGTTGATTATGCAGTGACATAAATCTGTCCTTATGATTAGGTAGTATATATGAGGAGCACAAAAGCTCTACGTCTGAATGGTTTTCTGTTCAAAACTACAGCTACTATTAGTTGTAGGAAAGATATCGACCTACCCGTACGGAAACGCAGGGGTATTCTTTCTTCAATATTAGTGAACAATTGAAATCTTCGAATAAGTAAATATGAATTGGTAAATAAGATTCTGTTTGATCAAAAGATAAAGAATTGAATCGAAATCTAACACGATATGAGCCAACAAATAGATTTACTCTTATTATGGTAAGTTGTCCTTTGCTTATCAAAATCAACTCTTCCTACAGAAATTTCGAAGACAATAACTTAAGTCAATGACAAAAATAAGAGGACAAGTTCATTTTCATTCCAATCGAAGACGACTATGGATATCGATAATATTTTTCTTCCTAGGGCTATTCCAGTGGGATCGGATGGAAAACCTAAATCACCAAGTAAAGGTGCATGGATAAAAGCATGTGGTAAGTTTTCTAATAAAATTTTTTTCGATTTCCAGTCAACCGTCTTTTTTTGTCAGGTGATGAATTTTTAACAGAAGTAATCAAAGCACTCGGTAATGATTTACCATTAGTCGTTGAAGATTTAGGTTATTTAACAAAAGAAGTATTTGATCTTCGCGATAAATGTGGTCTTATTGGGATGCGTGTTCTTCATTTTGGATTTGGATCTGATCCAAATAATATGTATTTACCACATAATTATGTTCAAAATTGTATTGTTTATACCGGAACTCATGATAATAATACATCAAGTAATATTTATTAGTAAAAAAAACTCTTTTTATTTATTATGTTTGTTGTTGAAATTCTATAGTTGCATGGTTTCGTCAGAATACAACGAACAATGAAAAAGAAAATTTAATTAAATATTTACAAAAAGAAGGTGATCCAGAACATGATATTAATTGGGATTTAATTCGACTAATACATGCTAGCGTAGCTAATTTATCTATTATTCTATTTCAAGATATACTTGGTCTTGCAGAAGGTTGTCAAATGAATAATCCGTATGTTGAAATAATTCATTTTTCAGGTTCATTTTAATTCAAAATACTTTCTTTTCAGAGCATTTACACCGGATTATGAAGAAAATTGGAATTTGCGATTTAAATGGGAACAATTAAAACAATCAGACAAAGATAAACTTAAATTATTAACAAATATCTATGGACGATATAGACCCAAAGAAAGATTAGATGAATTAACTAAATAAGTTGATATTTATGAAAAATAAGTTGTACTCAATAAGCAACATATTACGAATAAAAAAGACGATCTTTTATTGCATTCAATCATTTTCCGTCTCAAATGATTTTTTACCAACTTCTGTTAGATTTATGTAAAGTCACATTTTGTTTTGTATTGACTGGCTTTTTACATTTAGTGAAGAGGAGAGGGAGTCAGAATTAGAGTATTGATATTTTACTTTCGTGGCAGCTGGGATGTGGATGCGAATTTGTTGGTGTTTGGTGAATACGAGTATGATGATATGACTTCATTCAATTTCAATAACATTTCGAAATTTTTTACTCATAAAGATATAGAAAGTGACGAAGATAGTGCATGGTATGTACCTTCACTTGGAGAGATGTCCTCATCATGTGCGAAGGTGATGCGTTAAGATTTCAAGGCACCCAGATCCACACAGGTGTCGTCACTGTGTGAAAATTGTTTGATGTCTTCTATAAATTTCCAGCTAATTCATGAAATATATCATCATTATAAATATATTTCACCATTAGACTATATGCGAACACGAAAATAAAAATGACTTATACAGTCAGTATACAACAAATATTTTTCTAACATTAACAAAAGCAAAGAGTGGAAGGTAAAATTGGTAAATGATTTGTACATATTTTTTACTTACGCACTTTTCTAATAATAATGTGAATTGAGTATGGTTAACTTTGTATGATAGCGGAGATGTAACCAAAATGCTGTTTTTTCTCTATCTGTTAAACGTTGTATTTTCGAAAGATACAAAAAGAAAATTCAAAATTAAAGGTGTAAATCGCGCTGGTGAGCCACCGCTGCCAATTTTGGGTGTGGGTGGACGTGGATATTAAGAAAAAGAAGTCCTAACTCAAGCACCTACACTCTCACTGTAACAAACCCACTCATCATAAACTGTGTCGTTCTAGTGACACTTATCATTGATATACCAAACAACACTTCTCCTCATGAATCGAACATTCAACGTACGACGACAGCAGAAAACAGAAACAGCCGCCGGTTGTCGTGGAACAGTAACTATTCTAATCTCACATTCAACAAAATGTGATAGAATTCTTCGATGACACAAAAATAACCTTTTTTTGTACGATATTCCAAGGTAGATAAGGACACGTATGATTTTTTCCCTTTCATTGACATTTGTGATGATCATGTATAGTTGATTCTATTGATTGACTGTATCAGAGTAGTTTCTGCTGTTAATGTATTGGATCCCTTATCATTTTAGAATGAATCGATGATGATATCACACTGTTTCAACAATAAAAATATTTGACAGATACAACATATTTGTACATTCAATACAGTAGGCACAGACAGAACCACTTATATTTGATGATATGTGAATGAGTAGATATTGATTGTTTCATAGAAAAGAGTGCTCATTGACATTATGCATAGTCTTGACTTCTGTATTGAAGGATAGATGCAGAAAACGTCTGCTTCATTGAGATGACGTCGGAGATTGCACGCATCATCGTCATGATGATGGATGTTTTTTGATTTTCAATAGTAAGTGATGATAATTTCTACGAAGACAAGTCATCAATCGTCAATCTATTTAGATGTCAATTCGAAATCAGCAAAGCTAATTCTAAATTTTGTCTTATCGGATGTCAGTACAGATCAATTGATTTGATTCTTCAATTCCGTAACAAACCATATATAGCGATTGAATCATCGCCCAACGAATTTCGTTTCAAACTATTCATCTTTAAATTGATGATCACTGAAATCAAAGCGATTCAGCATAATTTATCGGCACCAACCAATAAGCCAAACGAAGAAACGAACGAGCTCAATCACAACTACAGAATAATTGAACGAGTATTGTCCAAAAATATTTTCTAATGTCGATCTCTATTTCTCATGTAACACAGGCATTGTCAGTTCTCATTTTAGCTCCCGCCGCTAAAAAAATCATTTTCGTGAAAATAATCGAAATTACGATGAATACAGGAAAAGATAGTGCGTGATCTCATCTCTCATAAACGACAAAATTTTTACTCGACACCTCGCTTTTTCAAAAATTTTTGAAGATTTTCGTCATCCCCTATTCGAAAAGTAGACTATTTTTCTCGTTTTATAGATTTTCGATCGTATCTCCCAAAATTCTCGAAGAAGCTTCATTGAAGCCAATAATTTGTTTTTGATTGAAAGCTCGTGTTTGGGGCTAGTGACTCTCGTGGCCATTTTTTTTTAATAAGCTTTTTTATTATTATACAAGAAAACATCTGCATAGAAACAGCGCCATTTTTTAGAGATTTGTTGAGTCATTGGACTTATGTTTTCTTCTCTCCGCTTAAAAAGTAAGCATTAAAAAAAGAACTCTGTGGTGTCCTGCATCTTGACATGCTCTTTCAAACAAAAGAAGATTAAATATATAGAATGAGCCTGGACAGAGCAATTTGATGGCACCAAATGTGCTATCTTTGATCCTTGTTTGTTGAATATCTCTGTCAAACATCATGATATAGAGCTGAAAATTTTACTATAGCCTCCCCACATCAGCTTCAACACATCCTGAAAGTTTCATGCAATTTGAATGTTCCTGATCTAAGATCGACTATTGAAGGGGGGCTTTAATAATCATGAAGACAATCTCGAGAAAAATCGAAAAAATGATCGAAGAAACTCAAATCAAGAATCAGTGATTGCTCGTCAAGGTTTAGATATTCGTTATCTCTTATTTCTCAATTCAATAGCTGATCAGTTCATGAACGAAAGTATTCGAACGAATACTAAAGTGCCATGATATGTACGCAGCTTTGAGCCATTCTGCTCTTTGTTCTTTACATATTGAAGAAGAAATTTTATCTAAAAGAATATAGTACAATATTGTTGCAAAAATCTTTTACATGATTGAACTTGTATAGTAATTAATAAGAATAATTAAAAGATAATTGTAATAGTGTATTTTAATGAATAAAAAACGTGATTATCTACTTTCAATGTCGAGAAGAAAAAAAATCGAACTTTTTAGAGTTATTTTTTAAGAATCATTAACATTCTACAAATAGAACGAAACACTCGTAATTCAATTTCATGTCTATTTTTTAGGAAATCAAAAAACTTCGGCGATTTTACTTTCTTTTATCATCGTCTCTAACACGTTAAGATGAAATGCAATTGAAGTATTGTAAAAAAAAGATTCCATAGAGAATAAACTGTCAAATGTAATAGAGTAGGAAATATTTCACGATAGAGGCAAAATCAAAGATTTTGAGAGCTATAATTTCATTCATAATAAACTATTTAATGGCTAGAATAAATTTATTTATTTCAATATTTTAATTAAAAAAATTCGATACAATTCAACAAAAACAATATTCCAATGTTGAAGACACATCTTATTGACGATTTTATTTGCAGAAGTTTATTATTAGCATTAAAAGATTAATTGTTAAAAAAGAAATAATTTATTGAGCTTCATTTCATTTTTCACACATCTATAAATGAAATTTATGCATGACTCTAAAGTTTTACTGACATGTTTAATAAAACAGACATCGACTTTCTATAATTAGTATATACTTACTTTTATCTAATATTTACCTTTATAATTTTTGTATCTTCGATATAGATTAGAAACATGTGCTCTCAGAAAGCGCCTAGAATTTGACTTATGGATATTAATATTCGTCTCTTCGATGCTCGGCTTTGTAGGCAAATGTTGAAAACATCAAAGATGCACTGATGAGATTTCATATATTGTTGTGTATTTCAATATAACCAACACAAACAAATATAATCTCCATATCGGTGGCCTTCGACACGTCCTATCGACTCGAAGCGTCGGTATTAAGCGACGATAGCAGAGTTTCGTTATGATCGGAACACGCCGCAAGCCGAGTTTCTAACTCAGACATAGAAAATCCGAGTCAGTTCGAAGTACGAAATTTTTATGCTCGATACATACCAATCTGCTGATCTTCACATTGCAAATTTTTTGCAATAGAGAGCACACGTTTCCAATCTGTCATCGGTTTGATTGTTAAGCCGTCGTGTTTGTACTTTTGTGGCACAATACACAGTTGATGATCAAAATTGGAACACACAACAAAGACTGTCAAAACACGACTTTATATAGCTTATGAAGGTATTGCACAAGCAACCGTTAACATAGAATGTTCGGGAAGAGCAGAACGACGAAAAAAAAACTTACTAAGAAGGACTTGATAAGGTTTCACCTTGGATTTTGCTTTGCTTTCAAATATGTTTCAGTGATGTTGTTAGGGGTCTACCAGCTCAAGTTCACGAACTCCGTTCAAATGAACTAAAGAACTGCTGAAATAGTTCTTTTGAACGAACTGAACTTTTTCGAACAGTTCTTTTCAAAAGAACTGAACTGATTGAACAGTTCTTTTGAACGAACTGAACTTTTTCGAACAGTTCATTTTGAAAGAACTGATTTGTAAAATAAGTAGTTTGTAGAGCTGGGCTCTTGAAAAACGTCCAGTTCGTTCAAAAGAGCTGTTC